AAAACAAAATATAATCCAAAATGTGCACACTACAGAAGTAACATTCTGATAGAGAACATTGAAAGAAAAAAATGCATTGCATTTGGGTTGGACAATTTTAATATACATTGGGATTGGGATTATTAAGTGTGTTTAGAATTAAGTAAAATTTTTTAACATGAATTCAATGTGAAAGTTATATTATTATGTTTAGAAATTAACCAGTTAAACCACGTTTCAATGAGAATTTGTTGCTTTTATGAAAGACTTTTCTTGTTTACTTTATTTCATGACTTTTTAGAATTTTTTTAGCCTTTTACATACACAAAATTTTGGATGAAATAATATAAAATTTATATGGTAATTATTCTTTCAAAAATGAATTTGAATTATTATTTTTTTGTCAGGAAAAATGAATTTAATTCAAACTATGAAAACAGCATTAGTGTTAGAAAAGCATCGTGTTGCTTATTTTTTTGTCAACCGTATTATTTCAATTTATAAAAAGGATATTAACAGTATGAGCTTGGCCCGTTTGTATTGGGATGGGCTTGAATGTGACAATGTCTTTCAGTACTTGAAAAAGAAAAAAAAACGATTATGCTGACTTTCTTTCTAGCTACCAAAGACAAAAAATTAAGATTATAATTTGTGTACGTGATGAAAAGGAAAAGAAAATTGCCCTATTGCAAATAGCTTTATCTTTTTGTCCCATTTGTCCAAATAATTCAAAGGAAATGAGAATGATCGAATATGTCTAGGATGTTGAATCAGTTCAAATTTAATTAAAATGGGAAGTAAGATTATAATTTTGTAACGAAAATGAAAAGGCACAATAAAAATAAGGTATCCTCGTGCATGGTTGCTGAAGATGATCGAGTGTTTTATCTTACTATTGCTCTTATTGTTTGACAGCTCTGACTCGACAGGGTGTGCCTCACTCTAGTCTGTATATAGACTACAGCGTTGGGTTTCATTCCCTCCTTAATTATTGGTTTCTTGACCCTTCCTAAGTTCTTATGGATAAAAAGAAAAAGAAAAAAGACAGAGCATAACTTAAATCTAAAATATTTAAAATTTATTATTTTGACACTAAATCTTTGGTTAAGATAGAAAATAGTTTATAATGTCATAATTATGATGAAGTAATGGGTGTAGTTTTATCTGCTTTTAAAGATATTTTCATAAGAAATATGTAAATTTGATAAAATATTGATATATATATATAGTTTTTAAAAGTAATATATTAAAATATCAGATTTTTGAAAACAAAATTATGAAAATATAAAACCTCAAATATTGTAGGTATAAAAATTAAGAGAAGAAACGAAATTATAAAGTATAAAAAATTGTTAATGGGTGATTTTTTTTTAATTTTACAAAATTAAAACCTGTTAATAATAAATTTTTAAAAAAAATTATATTTCTGTAACTTTTTTCAAAAATTTAAATTTTCTCAAATGAAAAGCCTAAAATACAAATTATTTTAAAATTTGCGAAAGAATATTAAGAAAGAATTTTATTGCCAAATCTTTGGATTTCCCACTGTCAAACGTTAAAAGCACAACAGTCAAAAAATGCCGGGCAATGCGCACCTAGACAAGCTATTGGTTTGTTCTTTCATCCCGTGACTATCTTTTTCTTTCTGTTTTTTTTTTTACACAACCTTTTATGTTAAAATTCTCATTGGGGTCATTGACCTCAAACGTATAATGATGAGGCACCCAATGATGGTTACTTGGCCAAAAAGAATTGATAATGTTTGCTCGGGATTATAACATGATTTGATTTTTAAATGCCTGTAGTATCACTATAGTAAAAAAATGTTGCTTTTCTCCCTCCCTTTCTGCAAGTGATTTCTAAATTACACCCTCAATGGCTTGGGTCATTGTACATCTCTCTGAAAAAGCAATTTTGGCCCGAAAAGATTTGATGTAGGCAAAAACAGCAACATTAGGATTTATAATTTAGGTCCAAAGGGTGTGATGAACATATTTCATGTATGGAGGATGGCAAAAACAAAACCCCACATGACATGTTGATTAATACTCTTGAACTTAATTGTTGACAACTACCTTGGATGACTTGGTACTTTCATCACATGGGGAGGCTAGGCTGGCAAGACTTGCTGATAAAGGTTGATCAAAGACCTCGGTGTCAATCCTAATTTTCACATCCATAAAGTCCAACAAAACCCATTAATCCTTTATTGTTGTTGTTAGGAGTCATTGTTTTGGATGGTATCTAAATGCTCTCATTACAAAGAGGGTGGGAGGGGGGCAGCAAGACAAAATGTCTTAAAGCAAGTCCCCTTGTTTATGCTTTTCAGTTTAAACCTTTCTTTTTTCTGACAAAACATTTACGGTAACACTATATAGGTGATATAAATTAACCTGGATTTTCAAGCAATGTTTTGTCTGATAGACTTTTTCACTTGCTTTCATCATTCCACTCATATCTTTGTTGTTTTCCTTTTTTTTAAAGTACAATTTATGTATTTGGTACTGTACATAGTGCCTTTTACATAAATGTAATGTTTGATATTTCTAAGCGTCATTCAATAGTATATAGGTGTCCCAAATAATTCCATTATTTAAACATTATATATATATATATATATATATATATATAATTAAAAGAAAATAACGTGTGTTATTCCATATTTGTTATGCACAAGACATTTTTCATTCATGAATGACATTTGCAGTCTTAGTGCTCCTTAAACCGCATATTTTCAGTCCAATAAGAAGAACATATATCACAGATTCTTCGTTGTGCCACGGGTCCAGAGTAGCAAAAGACTGTCTCCCTCTTGAGATTTGAATGATTCTTTATTTCTTTCAGTTTCATTTTTGTGGCTATTATTATTTATTTGTATTGAGAGGTCACTCTACACTATACTGTGTCATGAGGCATATCAATCTGTCATGTAACTTGTGTTTCACACTCGTGTCTGTGCAATATACCCTGGGAACTAGGAATCAGATTCATGCAGTTGGATAGTACTTCTTGATGTAAATTCACACTGCCCGTGATACACACTTGGATCATTAAATTCTTGTTATGCAAAATTTCCCATTTCAATCACCATCATGAAATTTCTTTCCTTTAAGTTGTTCTAATTTTGTGGCAACCCATTTATCATTTAAGAATGAGAACCAAGTCAAAAAAGGAGTAGAAACACGTCATTCAAAAATGTACCACGCAAGAGTTTTGGCATCAGAAAATTGTTATCTTTTCTCATTTTAGAAAATTGAAGATGGGACCAACACCCAAATACTAGTGCCTCTGAAACAATCAATAGACACAGCTACTGCAAAATGACTCTGCCATCATACATAACCTTTCTCACATTTCCCACACTTTCTTCTAAGGGATAGAAAAGCCTGAACAGTCAAAACAGTTTCATCAAGCAAAATTCCAATAGGTTGGCCTAATTGTTGCTTGGTGGGACACCTAATCCTTAGTGTGGTTAAACAAAGATGTTTCATTATGTCATGAAATTAATTATTAGACATAATGGTCAAAACGGCCTGCAATGTGCCAACACACCTTACAAAGCTCTTTGCAATGGATGCATGAACGTAATCATAGATATGGGATGGTTTCTTGCTGAAGCAACCATGGTTTATTTAAATTCAAGGGTCAAAGGAAATTTCACCTAATTAATTAAAAATTAGTGGTATTTGTTTCAGCCTTACACTACCGAACTTCACCCATAAGATAATGCATTAACAATTGAGCAATACCTTCTGATATTGAAAAAAAGAAGAAGAAAGAATTACGTTATACTTGAGGGGTTAAATCCATATTTGGATATCTTAAGCCTAATTGTTCTCACCAGTCACTAATTATGTCTAATGGCACATTTGACTTTGCAAATGGATGCCTAGTTCTTAATTGGTACTTCGATTAAGAAGAAGCTCAATAATTAACACTCTCGCTTTACAAAAATCGTTTCATACATAATAGCATTTCTTTGAAAAATATTTGCAGTTAAAATTTTTTAAAAATATATTTTATTAAACATAGTAATAATTGACATTAAGGAAAGAGTAAGGATTGAATTCGAGTTATTTTTACATTATTTTCTAGCAGTGACTCACTGTAGTTTCACCATTAACATGAACATAATTATAAACGGAGAAATGGATCTATTCAAAAAAAGATTTCACAGTGCTTGCAAAATAGACCGTGGACCATAGATGAAATTTTATTTTATTTTTCTAGTAAAAAGAGAAAGAAACGATGAGTTTTGTAAAGTTGTGTAAAAACTAATAATAATGAAACGGAAAACAATCATAAAAATAACAAAGCTCTTGCAATAGAATAATAAAATGATAATTATGAAATTTTAAAAGGATTATTTCATAACACTTTTTTTATTTTTGTTTACTGAGTAACAGTAAAATTAATCTATTTTAAAGCGAAGAGTCACTGAAATGGGTATATGACACTTTTGGTATATCAAGTCTCTTAACATTTTTAATTTGCATAAGAATAATTTAACATCTGTATGTATAAACATTAACAAGGGGGAAATAGATTCATTCAAAATAGATACAATTCTCTCTTATGATTTATTCTTAGATAATTTTAATTCATTTATTTAGTTTATACTTCGATAATTGAAAATCCTTACTGAGCCACGTCTCCTAAGATTGATAGATGCCAGTCTTTGCAGCAAAAATACATAGCCAGTGCCAGTTGCCATTTGCCACTTGGTGGATTCATGTCATGCATAGCAATAGCAATATGAATAGCATAAGGCAATTGTAGTGTTGGTGCCCCATGTGCTTAAAGCAACCTTTCCTTTTACTGACCCTTAGTTTTTATGTTCTATGCTCTTTTTCATTTAGTAATCCTTTTGGTTATTACTACTCCAGTTTAGTCTCCCACAGAATTGACCCAAAAAGCAAATCTCTCTCTCTCTCTCTCTCTCTCTCTCTCTCTCCTATCCCATCCCATTCTTAAGAAACAATTAGAAATCCAACCCATGTCAAAAAGCAACTCTTTTGGACCTAATCCTGAAGCATTCTAGCTGTGCTTCATCTTGGTCACCTCGAATCAGCAAAAGAAAAAGTTCCTTTTATTGATATCATTCTATTAAACTTTTACCAGGAAAAGATCTCCTTTTTCTTCATTTTTTTTTCTATCAGCCAAACCATAGCACAAGTTCAGACAAAATCTTGCTGGTTGTCTTGCCATGAGGGAATTTCCTTCTTGTTTTGGAGAAAATGGAGTACAGGTTGCTGATTCATCCTCATCAAGTACCACAAGAGCAGCTCAAAATGTGGTTACGTGTGTGTATCAGTGCAAATTAAGAGGGCGTTCTTGCTTGATCACAGTCTCGTGGACCAAAACACTGATGGGTCAAGGCTTGAGTGTGGGAATAGATGACTTGGGCAATCACTGCCTGTGCAAGGTTGAAATAAAGCCATGGTTGTTCTCAAAGAGAAAAGGATCGAAGAATTTGGAGGTCCAATCTGGTAGAGTTGACATATTTTGGGATTTGAGTTGTGCTAAATTTGGTTCTGGGCCTGAGCCATTGGAGGGGTTTTACTTAGCGGTTGTGTTCAACAAGGAAATGGTGTTGCTCTTAGGGGATCTGAAAAAGGAGGCATGCAAAAAGATCGATAGTGATTGTGCTTTTGCTCACTCCGGTGCCGTTTTTATTGCAAAGAGAGAGCACATTTTTGGTAAGAAGTTTTATGGTGCAAAGGCTCAGTTTTGTGACAAGGGGCAAGTGCACGATGTCACAATTGAGTGTGACACTGTGGGCCTCAATGATCCCTCTCTTGTAATTAGAATTGATAGCAAGACAGTGATGCAGGTGAAGCGACTCAAGTGGAAATTCCGAGGCAATCACACCATTTTGGTGGATGGTGTTCCAGTTGAAGTGTTTTGGGATGTGCATAGTTGGCTCTTTGGGAACGCCATGGGCAATGCGGTGTTCATGTTTCAAACATGCATTTCAGCTGAGAAGCTGTGGCAAGGCCAATCAGCTTCGGATCCCTCTGCGCTAACTTGGGCTTCTTCTCAGCAGTTTAGAGATTCTCAGTTGCAAGGCTTTGGTTTCTCTCTGATTTTGTATGCTTGGAAGCATGAGTAGTCCATAGAGGTGTTAAATCTTATTCTTAAATGTTAAATTAATATTTGACAGCCACATTTTTAAACAAAGGTGTGTTCAGGGTAAATGAAATGAAACTGCTAAACTAGTCCTTTTTTTCTCATCTTGATCTTACATACATACTCTTTATTTGCATTCTATTATAACTTTTGTAATTTATTCTTATTGTTAAAAAATTCCAGGGTCTTTTTTTTTTTGCAGAAATTGTTACTATACAATATACATAAGATCTTTAAAGAGTTTAAAGGAATTTGTTAGAACTATAATACAAATTGCAGTATCACAGTCAAGAATGATATTCTGTTTGCAATTTTGTAGGATTTCAATTTTTGCTTTTGACTTTAAATTAAGCACAAGCATTTGAATTTCGATGCAGGGATAAACCTGTAACTTAACTCTTTGGATTTGAAAATATGTTTAAAAACTATAAACGTGTATCCAGTAAAGCTAACGTTTAAATAAACATGAATTTTATGTATATTTAAACATGAATCAAAACATGTTATAATAAAATGTGGGAGAGTAAAGCTAACGTACAAAAGACTCAAAGTAGTACTGGATGCTTCTTAATTCAATAATTCTTACATATGATATATTTGTTTCTATTTTCATAGATCCAAGGAACAATTATCAATTATAATCTAACATTCAAGCAAGTGAAGACCACATGTCCAATATTTACATTAATGTGAACGAATGCTTAGACACCTTCTATTATGTAGTTGAATATGAAAATACATGCAGACACGAGAGACGAGAGGAAAAAAGGAGCACAACTCAATGGTAGGAATAATACATAACTGATTCTTTCGGCGACAAAATAGAGGGTCTCCACCGCAACCGTTTTGTAAAACTTTCACTACGCTATGCAATTATCTCTGAATATGCCTGACAAGTTTTAAAGCAATTCGTTTGCTTCGTTATGTAGTGTTTGCTGCGTTTTAATCGAATGTAAGTACGGTGTAACCTACTCCTAGATTCCAAATAACTTCCTCATATCCAATCACTAGTATGGAGAACACGAGATTATGGCAATATATCTGATATCATTCTTCCTAATCTTCAGAAACAAGAATGGAAAATAAATTTTTTAGTTCCAAAAAGGACATTTTTTTGGTGTCTTTTGATTTTAAAGAATACTTTTGAAATGTATATATACAAAAAGAACAAAATTATATAGGATATATTACATCAATTTTTAGTTATTTAAATAGAATAACACTAGGAATTATATGTCAGCTTGAAACCTTTCGGATGTTCATAAGCTCTGAAGAAAAATATGTATTTTCTTTTAATCCATTTTCCTTTTATCTGAAAAATCAATGGGCCCGATCTCCCAAAAATTCATGATGGAAATTTACTGAAGAATATGTGGCGTATAATCCCTTTCTTATATCTGCTCATGTTAATGTGGTAGCTGAATCAAAAACAGGTATAAGTGAAAATTCTGACAGGACTGCGTGTTATTAAATAGTAACAGGACCGCGTGTTATTAAATGAGAGAAATTTTCAAATCACGAGGCACAAAACAATGGTATAATGTAAGGAAGACAATAGTAGCTATACAATGTGGAAAAGAAATCCCATCACGGCTGTTTTGTGCCTCAGACAGAGCCGCAGCAAAGGGAGATTTAATCTTTGTATTTATAAATAATGAATGTACTATTACACAAGTTCTCAAGCCAATGATTGGAGACTTTTTTCACATTGCAAGCAGCAACTTAAAGGTAGCAACGTTTGATTCTGGCTCTTCACAATCTCGAAACATTATAATATTTGGTACCCAACAGGGTAGGAATCTCAAATTATTCTAACTTCTTGTCTCTGTGTCTATAGTGCCTGTTTATAGTGTCCAGTATTAAAATCAAGCATGAATACGCATGAACATACAAAGACTATATAATACATTAAAAAAGCTCAAGGAAGCATGCAGTTGAAATCTAAAAAGAAAGCAAGATTGCAATGCGTCACATAAGAGGACGACATCCCAATACAATTTCCCATTATTCATGAATCCTGTACCCAAACCCTCACTGTTCTATCACCATCAAGGCCAGCGGAGGCAATTTTGTTCTCTGTTGGGTGACAAGTAACAGATATTACAGGATCCGTATGGCCTTCAAGTTTCTGAATCATATTTTTTTGCTGAAGATCCCATAAATAAACACAGCGATCTTCTGAACCGCTAACAATATATTTCCCATTTGTCACAGAAAATGTGGAAGTTATGCAGTATACTCTATTCACATGGCCAGAATAAATTTTTAAAAACTTCCCAGTCTGGTAGTTCCAAAGCTTCTGCACCCAGAAATTTAATTTTGTCAGGGAAATTGTCAAAGAAAACCAACAATCTGCCCAATTAACATGCTACTATTAACCTAAAAGGAATGATAACAACAAGTGTACTTAAAACTGCTTAAGGTATTAAAAACAAGTTTTTACAAAAGAGTTATTTACTTTTATTACCATAATTTTTAATTAAAAAAAATTATGTTAATTTTTTAACTAATGGCCTTGGCTACATGATTAACCCCAAACCTCAGTCATGATCATCAATGTCAAGTTTACAGCCTACACAAATGATTAATTCCTCAACACACTACTTCATTGGTAGTTGAAAAAAAAAATAGAAACATACATTTTATTCAGAACAAACGAACAAGATTAAAGTAACGGTCATGGTAAAGACATTGATTAAGAAATTAATAACTACTTTTATTAAAAATCACTTTTGAAACGCATTAAAATGACAGGAAGATGTAGTCTTTTACTTTTTCGATGAAAAATTTATTGAAAAAGAAATCTGAGCTATTTCCTTTTGTCTGTTATGGTAAAGCGGTTTTTCTAACGGTACAAATTAACATTAATTATGAACTTACATAAATAATAATTTTTTTTAAGGAATTACAAAATTAAATGCAATTCAACAATTAAATATTATAATTTCTAATAAAATTTTAGCATTTGTTGATTTCTTATTTTATACCCTTTTGTAAAGATTAGAAAAACCGATGATAAAAAAGTTATCTAAATTTCTGCAATCTTAACTGAATGATCCATGCTCCATATATAATTATACAAACAGTCTGAAACTGAAAAGTTAACAATCTATATGAATCCATCCACTGTATAGATACGAGAGAGAGAGAGAGAGAGAGAGAGAACTGACGAGTGTATCATTGAGAGTGGCAACGAGTATGAACTTGCCGTTGGGGGAGAACTTGGCGAAGGAAACAGCAGGGACCTTATCGTCAATTAGGGTCTTCAAGTGAGTGCCGGAGCTCGTATCCCAAATCTTGCAAGACCCGTCGTGGCTACCGGAGACAATGAGGGAACCGTCGCGATTGAAGTGGACGGAAGTGACGGGCATGGTGTGCCCGGTGATGATGTGGATGCATTTCCCGGTCTTGACCTCCCAAACCCTAATTGTCTCGTCGAAGGAGCCAGAGACTATGTAATTAGATCGGTGATTAAAGTTGACGCAGAAAACGGCGTCGGAGTGGCCACGGAGCGTCTTGACGCAGTCGCCGCCGGTGGCATCCCAGATGCGGAGGGTGCGGTCGTCGGAGGCGGAGCAGATGTAGTGGGAATCGGAGGACCATGCGAGGTCGGAAACACCCTCGGAGTGGCCGATGAGGCGGTGGAGAAGGGAGAGGGTTTCATTGGACCAAATAATTAGGGTTTTGTCGAGAGAAGCTGAGGCTAAGAGGGTTCCGTCGTTGGAAAACTTGACGCACGACACCGCTCTTTCGTGTGCGGTTAGGGTTTTCAGGTGACGGTACGGTTTGTACTGTTGGTTGCTGCTACTGCTTGTGCTCGTCGCCATCAGAGCTACCTCACCACCACTCTCACTATTTGTAAAATTCTGCCTCCTACCTTTCCTTTCTAGAGAAAGAAACCCCAATTTACATTCAGTAGCCCAAGCCCAATTTACCCTTTGAGGTCCAAGATTTGATAGTGCCTAGTTTATGCTTTTTTCTTTTTGAGATATTTCCATGCTCCATGCCGTTGATCAAAAACAAAACACTTTCATGTTCTCTTCTCAAGATTCAAACCTATTACATTCATTCATGTTTTTTAACATGTACGAAAAGAGACGCATACATATTGATTCAAAAATATTAAGTATCATAGAATTTAATGTATTGGTAACATTACACGTTAAAAAAATCACAAATATTTTATCTTCAATATCTAAACATATGTTTGATATAGATCATTTTTTATCGCTCAAAATATTTTCTAAGTAAAAGATTAATGTATCAAGATACAATTAAATACTCTGTGTATTTGATTAGAAGGAAGAAGGGGCAATAACTTCTTTTTTTTTATAATGTTGCCTCTTAAGCTGAAATTTAAAATGAATAAGAGAAAAAAAAATTTAAATAGTCAAAATTCCTCAAAAAATATAAATATATATTTGAGGTATTGGCATCCCTTGCTGTATGAAGTCGTTTTTCATCCCAACTGCAAAAACTAGAATTCAAGTTTTAAGATGAGGCATTCGCAAATTTCAGGTATAAAATTAACCTTTGTTTATATAATATTTTATGAAGTTTTAAGAGCAGAATAAAATATCACGATTTCACTGATAAAATATGCATGTTCATATATCAATTATATTTTACCTTGTTATTAAAAAACAATTCTTACTAATGTAATTAATTAAAGAGATAGCATTCATAAGTGTTTTAAAAGATTTAAAATTGACAATTCAGTTGGGAAAAAATAAATCAGACCCAATGCCGATGCATACTCTATCTTTAATACAAAATCTTGATTTTACCTCATTTTATAAGATACTTTGACGGATATCATAACTGAATAGAAGATGCAGTGATACCGATGACTAACTGTCTTAACTGATAATCACTTATCAGGCATTCATGATACTAACAGCGTGTTTAGTGTCGCATCAAAACGCTTGTAAATCTACATTTATTTCGTCGTTATTAGTGTCAACATATTTTGTCAGTGTTACGATTCATCAAATTGCGTTTCCCCAGTTGAGGCTGACATTCACATGGAGATAGCTTTTAACGCATAATCTTCACCGAGTTTGCTTGATCCTCGTTTACATATAGAACAGTTTTACGCCCCATGTGCACAGAGAACACATTGGCTGTGGTTGCAGTATTAGCTATAGACGGTATGAAAGGCAACAAAATATATTGAATTTTTTTGCATATTTAATTTTAAAATAAATCCAGTCAAGTTAGTGCAGATTTATTTTGGGAAATGAAGGGATTGAGGGGGAGGGAGGACCACCCATCCAACTCGGCTATACTTTACATTTTCTGCGAACAAGGAAACTTGGGCCGACAAGAAACTGATACTCGCATCCAATCTTCATCCTGATTGAAAATGCCACGCTAATGAACTTCAACGAAGACAAGACGAAAGTCAAAGACAATCCCCCGTCCACATTCTAATAGGCACTATCCTTCTTCCTCTGCGACTCCCCTGGTTTATAAATAAGACACAAACATTAGGAACGCAGGTGAACAAAACATACATTGAATTATGCAGGAAAACAGACTACAAATGACTTCAGAATATCAAGTAGTACCCATTCATTTTTATGATAAAATCAAGGCGGCACAAAATGTTATCTCTATTCTCTAGTTTCCTAAATGGGATATGCAAAAGACTAGATGCAATTGTCATGTGCGCTGCATGGCAATCACCAAACATTTTAATTTTGTTGTAAAACTGCAAAACTAGTTTATAGTGGCCCAATAAACCTACAGAGCAAAGCTAATAATCTATCCCTAAAAACGATTTTTCAAATGTAAACAAACTTCGAGTAGACCTCTAGATTAGTCTTGAAATTTTATGCAAAGACTAGGTACTTGTCATGTGCCGCTATAAATCCTCATATAGTATTTTTATAAAAAGTCATTCACTTTATCTCTTTCCTACTTCAATGTTCACCAACATTAAGGACTGAAGGGGGGATGATTCTTTTACAGAGTACACACACACACAGAGACACAGAGAGAGAGAGAGAGAGAGAGAGAGAGTACCAAATTCACAAATATTTGACCCATTTAATTAATGCCATACAATGAGCATTCCCTACACGGACACGGAGTCTATGTCATCTGAACTTTCCTCATAAATCACGTAGCTGGCATCTTGACCATCCTCATTACCACTACCCTGATCACTATTGTAGCTGCTTTCAGATGTACTTATAAAAATCAATGCATCTGAACTACGAAAGCTCAAGTGTGATGGCACACTTAACTCACTGTTCATATCAGAATCAAATGACTCAATGTAACTGCAACGCAATCCAGAAACATGAAAAAAAAACTTTTAGAAAAAAAAAAAACACTTATATTTACATATGAAGGACATTGCACCAAATTACTCCATCAGAAAAATATCTAACCTTCCTTCTAGCGGATACTCAGCCACCAAACACATATCAGGTCTTGCTTCCATAACCTGCTTTACAGGCATAATACTGCACCATAGAATCCCAACAAAAGCATCAGTCATTCTGAAATTAGGACTTAAAATGTCAAATCTAGTAATGATAATAATTACCTAGAGTTGAAACACCTGCGATACCAATCACCCTCAGATGCTAAGCCTTCTCTATTAGATATATCCTGTTTAAATGCAGCAGTAAGAACTAGAATTAAATCTGAAAATCACTACTATATTTGACACACTAACATATTTCTATGTACCCACAAGATGTACAAGCAATTTGAAATCGCCTGCAAGAATTGTCGTTAACAGCCTAGCAACTTCCATCTGCATGTCAACATATCAATTAACATTTTACAAAGGAATTATTTAGAAAAAAGTGAAGAATTATAAATGTATTATTATGATTCTCACCTCTTTCAGATGCATGCAATCCCTTAAAATTAAAACCTCAAGCAAATTTCCACCATTGCAACTTCCAAGGTTTCTGAAAAATAAAGGTTTTTAAAATTAAGAGATTATAGGACCAAAAACAAAAACAGATATGAAGAGATCATCTCAAGGAATAGATAGAATGTGAATTGTGAAGACTAATAGTAAAATGTTGTTAATTGTTAAAAATAACAAACCTTAAGAAGCTTCCAGTGATTGAATAGGATGTAGAAAAATCAACATATTTCAATTTCTGAAACCCCTGCATGAATAGGATTTTTAAATTAACAATTCAAACTTGAGAAAGAAAAAGTGGCTCCAAATCATCCCGTCAATAGAAAACCAAGACAATAAATCTGCACTTACTTTCTCTAAACAGGCAATTCAATGCAGAGAGATATGTACCATACATCATTTATAATTTTATTCAGACCAACTAAATTTGCTTACCGACCAACTGCTGAAAAATATAACGAATCCAAAAGATATGATCTTTTATAATTGTATTATTATAAAGCCTTCATAATAAAACTATCAAATTGTAGAAGTTCACCGACTTCCTTTAACATGAATTCAAGCTGGTTTTGGGGGTGCAGAAAGTGCAATCGCAATGTAACAAATTAAAATTAAGCTCATTTATAGCCAGCTTGGACTTGAAGCATTATTCCACTCTCAACTCTCCCACTTTTCCCTATGCCATAAACAAATTACTAAGAAAAAATGCAGAAACACTATATATTAAGTGGGAAATTATTAAATAAATTTAACATTAACAAATTTACATAGGATTAATAATAGACTGCAATAGTAATAACTTTACCTTAATCAGTACACGAACTTTATAATCATGTAGCTTAAACCCCCTAAGAGATAAAGAAGTTAGGTGAGGACAATTGTCCACTAGCTCAAGACAGGTTTGTGTTTTCAAACTGTCATCTCTACCTGATAATAAAAAACAGATAAGCAGATATATGAAGAAAATTATATGAAAAAATATAACTGAGAAGATAACTTACCTGTTTTAGAAGATTCAAAAAACAAACGCTCAATCAAGTGGCATTTTGCACTTACTGACATTAATGTTTGCCTCAATTCAACATGACTAGCATTTAAAACAAAAAACAGGAGGAAAAATAAATCCCAATGAAAGGTATAATTTAGAAACCGCATTTTCATAAGAAATAAATTATTGGAAGGTATATGAAATAGACAGATATGCTGATACATAATAAAAATTTAAGCAGATAATAAAGAATCAGAAACTTGACTGAAAATTGAAAAATGATACATTTTTAATTAAAAAAATTGAATCACCAACATATTCCTAATAAAAATATGGTCAGTATTTACAACAAAAGAAAAGATACCCAGTTCAACTGATGGACAATATAGGAATGTATGAAATCAGGATCAAAAGAAAGTAAGCTTATTTTAGAAAAAGAATCTCATTTCCCTCATGTTTTGGACATTTGAAGAATGAGAATCTTATATCCATTAGCAGTGAGGAAATAAATTGAGAGAAAAAGAGGTGAAGGAAACTAACTTACAGCCCAACAACTTCTAGATCAAGCAGAGAAGGGCATGCTGATAATGCCCCACTAAGGGATGCATTATCCATTCTTTCAATATTGTACAAGTTCAGCTTTCTCAAAAGAGCCCTACAAAATGAAAATTTAAGGTTGCATTTAAAACAAGTAACACAAATGTTCCAAATTCTAAAGTTCATGAACTACATACCCTGGAGCACCACCATCCCTACTTAAAGGGCTTAAACAAGATCTTGTAAGAATGGAAGATTCTCTCCCTTGTCTGGATCTCCTATCATTCCATGAGAAGTTAGGTACCTCTACAATTGCACTACCGACAGTACAAACCAATGGTTGACAAGATCCAGGCGAAGTAGCAGCACCAGGTATCACACCTAGCTTAAGAGACCTTATTCACAAATTAAAATAGATGGATCAGAGAAGATAAGGAGTTAAAAATACATAAAAACGAGACACATGTTCACCAATAAGGTATAGGTAAAACGGACTAATGCTATTCACTTTTTTGTCTTTTCCTGGTTGATGGGGCTAACAATGCTTACAGAGAAAAACATGCACAAAACTATACTAGTTACACAATTTCTAGCAGGGGCCAAAAAATGGTAAAAAATTACAGATGAGGTAGACCATTCAAACAAATAATAAAATAATCAATACGAAATCCGGTATCCCCTCCCCCCCGCCCCCTCGTGCATTTTGTGAGCAAAGATGAAATGCAATAAAACCTTAGAAAATAGGAGCTCAGTCATATTGTTATAAATTATACACTCATTATATGCAGTTAATTGACGTTTACTAGGGGAAGAAGTAAATATAAGCATGGAAAGTTTACCTTAGTGCCTTTCCTGCTCGCTGAATCATCGTGGAAACCACCGAATTGTTAATCTTTGGAACAATCGTGGTCAAATCGAGATTGGCATAGCACAAAGGATCTTTAGCACACTTGTTAAAAAATGAACAAGTAGCCGACGCATAGCACAGGCTCTGCGTATCAAGCATTGAGAAAACCTGCACATAAAAAATACGGTATGAAATTATCCAGAAGGTTCATAAACCTAAGGACCAAAGTATTTTCAGAAATTGAGTAAACATAGTCATCACAGGGGAAAAAATGAATATGAAAAGAAAAATCTTCCAATTAATATCAAACAAAAATGCATAAAACAAGAATAAAACCTTGATGGTGAGGTCGGGAGGGAGAGGCCAAGCGATGGAATTGTGCTTGGAAGCTCGCTTCCTGGACGAGTATTTGGCTGCATCGAGCAGCGTGGACGCCATTTTGAGGGCGCGATCGATGAGAACCGTTCGATCGGAATCGGAGGGCGATGATTCTAGAAGCATCTCGAGGGAGAGATCGAGAGAGAGAGAAGGGGAATCAGCGAGACCTAGGAATGCATCCAGAAGATGCTCCACCTGGTTCGGGTTCTCCGTTCTAGGGTTTTGCGAGGGACATGGTCGCTTCGCCATTAACGAAAGACCTTCCACCACGAAGCTATTGGTAGCCATAGCTGCCACTGCAACTGGTGGCTGTTATTTATTATTAATAATATTATATTATGACCTCATCACACTTTCTTTTTCAGGAGAAAGAAAGTAACAAAGAACCTCTGTGACTGTGAGCATCGTGTACGGACGAGGGTTTGTATACAAGTGTGCGTCTCTCAACGGTGCCACGTGGAATATCAGGGGTTCAGCCGGTGAGTTTAGTAAACCTTCTTTAGTTATTGTCATTATTATTGTTATCAGAGTTATTAAAAAATAAAAAAGATCCTCTTATATATTTCATTTTACTTTATTTTATTTTTTTATTTCGGTATTTTAGTTTTAGTTTACCGAGTTTTCGGTAGATTTTGTCTCGGTGGTTTCCGATTAAAATGAACGTCCTGATTAAATATATTCATTTATTGACATGTGATAATATATATGTCAAGATTCCTTAATTTAATTCAATCTCCGTTAAAAGTAAGAGGTATTTGGGGAGAAAAAATAAAAGAAAATTATTTTTTGGTGATTTTTCCACTCAATTTTGGATGAAAGGAAGAAAGGACATTATTTTGATGGCAACTATACACAGATGAGGGTTTTCTGACAGCTGTCCTGGGAGAGGCTTAAAACTAAGTAAACCCGATGGTTTTTCTCAGAATAAGAATAATTAAATGATGTTTCTCTTATTCGTGGAATGATAATAATGTTAATTTTTCGTTGTTAAATAAAATTGTTAAAAGGAAGGGATTAGGATTAAAAGTTTGCTAAAATACAAATACCAAAAATATATTTAAATTTATAAATTTAAAGATCATGAATAATTATACTATCTAAAGGTATTTTCAGTAAATGAAAATCAATTTTATTCGAGAGACGGGAATAAAACGATAGTGGATAAAGGGCGTTGGGTGATTGACCACAAAATAAAAGAAGAAAAAAAGAGAATAAGCTAAAAGAGGGCGTGGGGAGTGCAGAATAGCTCCAATGGGATGCTCTGGTCCACCTTCAACAATCTTAATTAAAGGTAAAAAATTTGATTATTCAACAAATTACTGCAGTGATTTTAATTTTCTACTTTTCTCTGAGAGAGTAAAAGGAGCAAGGGGAAAAAAATGACCAAACCATATTATCCACGTTTTCCCCGTTATAACAGTTACATTTTTTGTTTTTAGGGGATTATACCATATTAGAGTAAGTTTATAATTTATTTCTATTAAAAAAATTTAATTTTTTTTTATTTCAGAAATATCTCTTTAATTTAACCATATTCAATATAATAAAATATCTTTTGATAATATAAAATTTTAAAATATTAAATTTAAAGTAATTATATAATATACCTTTAACTTTTTACTGCAAAATATTTTAATGTGATAATACCTTAACAATAAAAAAAAATACCAATTTATTCTCCGTTTGAATGAAGTGAAAAAAATACGAAAATTATTTAAAATATTTTGTTATTTCACTAAAGAGAAATAACGTAAAATGTATGATATAAAGAACAATTTTTTTTAAAAAAAAATCTCTTTTTCTCGTATTTCATTTTCATACCTTTAAAAAACAGCATTTCTTTAGTTTTATTAAAAAAATAAATTAAATAATAATGGAAATAAAACAATGGCTTAAATATTTTTTAGAAAAATGTGATTTTTTTAAGTTGACTTAAATATAATTTTAATATTTATAAATACAATAAAAATTGCTTTTGATCCTTATAATTTTTTATTATTATTCTTAATGTTTTTTATTTTTTTCTGCCTTTGTCATCATAGATATTTTTATACACACTTAATAAATATACTCATTTTTTTAATACTATCATTGTTATCTTTTCTCGTTTTATCCTAACTTAAAATCATACTTTATTTTAATTTGAATTGCTTGACTCATCTTGCATGGGTAACGGACTAATGCATGGTAAGTTTTTTGGTTTAAAAAAAACAAACAAACTTAAAACAACTAAAACCTTTAAAATAATAGCTTAAATTTGATCTTTGGTAAGAAGCGAGTTGTCACTGGTCAGCTTTACAATGCTAGAAAAATATTTTAACATTTATTAAAGATTAAAAATACATATATTAACAATTTTAGAAAAAAAAACATTATTAAATTATTTCATTCAATAAAATTAAAATAAACAACCAATTATTTAAAATAAATACTTAAACTAATATGTTCAATTATTTAAAATTTTAAATAAAATTTTATATTTTTAATTATAATGAACCAACTCATTATTTTTATCATCAATCATATTAATAAATACTAACATAAAAATTAATAAAAATCATATTCACTTATTTTAAAAAAGTACAGTTAACTTGCCCAATCTTTCACGAGTTCGAGCTAAATAAGTCAATGCATTAAATAAGCTCATTGTATTGTCTCAAAATTATACTTACTTTTTAGTATGAAATATATTTTAATTGAGACCAAGATAATAAATCATGTAAAATGATATTAAGATAACGATTCCAATAATTTTAAAAGTATTTTTTTAAAAAGTGCTTTTAACTATTTTAAAAATTAATATTATTAATGAAAACAATTAGTTTTAAAAAATTGTGCAATATTTAAAAGATGATGGTAAAATTATGTGCTATACTCTAGGTAAAATTGATCTATTTATTCAATTTTTTGGAACCAATCGTTATCCATAGGCCAATAGAAGCTCATACAAAATCCACGTACATTTTATTACGGCTTCTCTCTGCTCCTGAGCCCCAAAAAACTGTGTAAATCAAATGTTGTAAAAAAAAAAGGGGGTAAATCAAATAAATTAATAACACATGACAGGGATTAACTAGTAAAGATTGTTGTTTAGTTTTGAGTTTGAGGATGTATAAATATAGTTTCTAAACCCTAAACAGGATTATCATGCCTGTGGTGTAAACCAAAAAATTAATCAATAATTTTGACTCACCTTGTTTGAGCGAATCATAGTGATAAAAGCATATTTTGGATAGAATTAAACCTCACGAATCTAATTGTTCCTTTCAGTCTTTCCGCGATGGGGAGGCCATCATCCACTATCGAAATCCCTCACGAACGCCACCGACATAACGGTCACACGACTCCTGATTCCGGTGTCTCCGACGACTATCGCCGCCGTCGAAGCCCTAGCTACGACTCATACGACCGCCACAACGACCGCCGCCGCCGTTCGGACTCGCCGGAACGCAGAAACCCTAGACACGCTAACGGAACTTTGAACGACAACGCTTTGCCAAAGAAATTCGGTCGCCGAAACGGTGCGTATCTGGATCGCGAAAGCGGGGATTGGCGGCGCTCCGATTCCGAGTCCGAGGAGGAGTTGAAAGGTTTGAGCTACGAGGAATATAGAAGGGTCAAGAGGCAGAAGATGAGGAAATCGCTGAAGCACTGTATCTGGAACGTTACGCCTAGTCCTCCTAGGCGTGAGAACGATGATCTGGAAGATGATAACAAAGCGGATGAAATTTCTGACCGAGACAACGGCGCTGGGAAGAGTGATAAGGAGGTTAAAGCAAGAGCAAAATCGGAATCAGAATCTGAATCCGATTCTGATTCAGAATCCGAGAAATCTGCTAGTAGTGAATCAGATGATTCGCGTTCAAGGAAGAAGAGAAGAAAGAGTTCTGGTGGTTCTTCGAGGAAATCGTACAGCGATAGCGAATCGGAAGAAGAAGAGGATCCTAGTCGAAGACAGGGTAGCAGTAGTAGAAGGAAAAGGAACCGGAACAGGAAGAAGAGAAGGTATAGGGATTCAGATGAGAGTGAAGAGAGCGAGAGCGATGATGACTCTGATAGTAGTGGAAGAAAGAGGAAGAAACGCTCTTCTTTTTCAAGGTCTCGATCAAAACGTAGCAGAAGGAGCAGAAGAAGAACAAAGAGAAGGTCTGAGACGGAAAGTGAGAGTTCGTATTCGGAGGAGGAGAATGGTTCTGGTTCGGGTGATGCTAAGAGTAAAGCAATGGTTGATGAGGTAACGAAGACGGAGATCAATGCGGAGGCTCTAAAGTTAAAGGAGTTGTTTGAGTCACAGAAAAAGCCCACTTTGGATAACGAACCCTCGGTTGGACCGATGCCCTTGCCCAGAGCTGAGGGGCATATCAGCTATGGTGGAGCTCTTAGGCCTGGTGAAGGTGATGCTATTGCACAGTATGTTCAACAAGGGAAGCGTATTCCGCGTAGAGGTGAAGTGGGTCTTTCTGCGGAGGAGATTCAGAAGTTTGAGAGCCTTGGTTATGTGATGAGTGGTAGTAGGCATCAGAGAATGAATGCCATTCGTATTAGGAAAGAAAACCAGGTTTATAGTGCTGAGGATAAGCGTGCTTTGGCTATGTTTAACTATGAAGAGAAGGCCAAAAGGGAGCATAAGGTTATGGCTGATCTGCAGCGCCTCGTTCAGCGCCATATTGGCCAGGATGTTGGTCCAACTCATGATCCTTTTGCTGCAAAAGCCTCTGACGGTGCTGATGCATGATCCTAATTCCTAATATTGATGTATGTTTAGCTTGTTTTCTTACCTTTTATTTATGGTTTCACTCTGCATTTTTGTTCTGCTGGCTATATTGTTACTTTTCTATGGGATTTGTGGAGTTGGAGAATATATAGATAACGTATTAAGACTGAGAATTATAGCTTAATACAAGAAATATCTTTTTCTGTGAATTGCCGTGAAAATTGGTAGATTTATCAGTTGTTGCAACTTGTAACAGCATTTGAATCATTCGAAAATGCGTTGTCCTTGTGGGATTATCTGCTTAGTATGAGTTTGGGAATTTTACTTCTTGCTACTTGTGTCCCTTTTTAATAATATGCAAGGACACCCATACCTTGTTTATGACTCAGTATTGTAGTATATTATGCAGGCTTTGTAGCATGTGACCCCTTGATTAGGACAACGGACTTTTGGATAATACCCTACTAGACTCACATTATAATATCCACCTTCTCATTTTTCTCTTACAAATAATGTTTATTGTAGTTTAAACTTAGTGTATTTAATTTACTAATTCTCTTTTAAATTTAAGAGTGGAGAATCATTCAAGAAATTTTAATAAAAAGATAAACCCTCGTTGTTGAATTTTAAAAAAGCCCCACTCAGAAACATTCATTTTCAAATCTCTGAAGGTAATCTCCAAATATCACAACTAAATTAACGAGAAGAATTAGGTAGTTAGAACTGAGTCGGGAATGAACTAAGAATAAGAAATACTTACTCCAGCTGATTTGAGAAGTGTGATGCTTATATCGAAGGGGCTTAATTACTACCTCTAGACTGCGTTCTTTGAGTTACTATAGTTTTCGAGTCCATAGCCCAAAATGGTGAGCCCGTTTCTGTTAAGGTATAGTCTTTGTATCATGGCTTCCATTGTTTAGATCACTACTCTCCTCCTCTTTCTCAAGAAAATTGAGCAGAACATTTACAAGTGGAATAAGTATGCTTCAAGAGATAAAAAAAAAAAATTGAGGAAAGAAGAGGGCCACAAGTAATTATCTCTCTACTGGTATCTGCTAATTATAAAACACATTTTTTCATATAGCATAATCAATTTTAGTCAATCTTTTTAATCTTCTATTCCTATGTGTGCAGCTTGTTTTAGTCAATCCTGGGAGTGAGGTGATGAAGAAACTACACAAATCCAAGCTCCAAAATGATATAGGGCAGAAATGGATCTATTTAACTGTTGAAGAGGCCGTTGGAGCTTGCAACTACATGTTTCGTGCATGTAAAATGAATACCAAGATGAATTAGAGGGTTGGAACAACGTGTACCTGTGAGCCATACACCAATGAATATTTTAAAGAGCTTTCTTAGTCGATTTTGTCAGATCATGGGTCTTCTAATTTACTGACCCCAAGTTCTCAAGTTTAAATTATTAGCCAACAAAAAATCACATCATTAGGTTGCACGCATATTTGGTGGTGCAATTGAGGGAAATAGTAATAATAGAGAAATATAATATTTACGGAAAAAATTCATTTACAACCATCAAATTAATACTAATTAGACTAAAGTTAGATAAATGATTGAGAAATTGAATTGAAATTGGTGACTTATGCGCATGTCCTCACGCACAAATAGCTTAATTACTACCTCCAGATTGTGTTCTCTATAATAACAACTATGGGTTCGAGTCCATAGCTCAAAATAGTGAGTCCCATTTCTGTTAAGGAATAGTCTTTTGCACCAAATATTACTCATTATTCATCTAAACCAGATTAAAAAAGGAGAGAATTATTCAGAGTTACATATAACAAAAAAATAAATGGTGAAAATCCCATCCTAGCCTGAGCCTCTTCGTAGGAGTAAATAAATGAGGCACATGTACAGCATGATCAAAATATGTAGGGTCATAAAGCAACTTAGAAAGGCAATTTTACAAACAAGAAAGATAATGTCTCAATTGTCTCAACGTAGAATCAAAATATGACAGTCTTGTAATTAAGAGAATAAAAATTTAAAATTAACAAAGTTTTTAAATTTTATTTTTTTCCAATTTTAAAGTTTATTATTTAGACATCTTTAACTTCATTTTTGGAAAGCTGTGTGGCGAATACATTAAGATGCAATACCAAAGACGGATTTTGAATACTTTCCAAAAGATTAGAGAGCTTCAAGCCTTCAACCAATATAAAGGGGGTTTTCCTTTTTATGTCTCCATAGATTTTTTGTATATGGATTGTTTCTGAGATTTTATTTTTATTTCAAATTCCTTTTTCATCTTACCTAATTATATTTATATTAGAAGTTACGTATGTGTTATATCCGATCGTGATTTTTGTATATTTCAACCCAATTTGCCTTAGCTTTGCAATTAGATTAGTTTTGGCATGTTAATTACGTATTAAAACCAAGGTAATATTTGTGTATTCTCACTAAATTGATTCTCGACCATTCATGATTATTTTAATTAATAGATTTTGAAACAAATGGGTTAAGATTGCTAAATAATTATTTTTTTTAATTTTTCTTCCAATTAATTATTAGATTCATAAATTTCTTTACTATTTCAACAGCTTAACTTGTAGTTTCTGATTTGAATATCAGTGAATGTTTACGTTAAATATTCAGACAGAAAATTTTGCTGCTCATAATAGTCATATCTAGCTCAAACAAAATTATCTCCAACAAAAGATATCTATAATCTAAGCCAAAATACAAATCTCTTTACTATTTATACTTTATGTACAACTTAATTTTATTTTTCTTTATTTTATTTTTATTATTAACACATGATTTGTTTTCTAAAAACACTTATCAACAATCACATGATTTACTTTAAAAAAAAACATTAACCGACAATTTTTCTACTTAAACTAGTTTAGTAGTACGTGTAATATTTATTTTTTAAAAATAAACATATACATAATAAATTTATTTTAAAATAATACTTTTATTATATATTTTCAAAAATCATTTTAACTATATGTCAATAATAAATATTTAATAATAATCATAACATTAAGAGATAAATCTCTTAAAAGTAAATTTTAAATTTTTTTAAAAAATAATTTTTATAAATGTAAAAGTAAGTATTATTAAAAATTAAAAATTAAAAAATATATAGATAAAAGATAAAATTATTGTATTAAGAAAGAGTATAATTTACATATAATATTTTTTATCAATTTTAATTATAAAATATATATGTGGTCACAATGAAAAAAAAAACTTCACAAATAGTTTATTTCTTAAATAGTAAACTTTAATGTATAGTATAAAAATTAATTATTCTTTCATATTCCATTTTAAAGAAAGAGATTAAAAAGAAGAAGAGAATGAAATAAATAATATAATGAAAAATAAAAATTTATAATCACAATATCCTGCAAATACAAAATACATTATTAGAGGGAATTCATTGTTCAGCATTCATATCTTCAGAAAACCTGCAGTCACGTCACATTCTAAGTACATTCGATTGCAACCTCTACATTATTTAACATTAGATTAGATCCTTAAAGCGAATCGAGTTTATTTATACTGCAGGAAAATCAATTTTTGAAGACTCTTTTTAAGCGTTTAACATTTAAGAATAAAGGACAAGTATTCAACTAATGCAACTAGCTGAATAGCAGAGTGCCAAAGCAATGACGTAACGTACACCTAATATAAATATGTTATCAATACTACAAAATAATAGAACCAATCAATTTCAAAATTATCAATAGAAGTTAAGAAAATTAAGATAGCAGTTCAACTTAAAAATGATATACAAACTATAGCTAATTATAATCGCTATACTATTGCTAATAAATAAACCCCAAATACCAGCAAGAGTCATTATAAAATTTGATAAAGAATTTACTGCCAAACATTTGAACTAAAATTATCAATGGATTTAATTATGAGAACTGCAACATCAATATATAAAACATGATGGTCATCACGTTCTTACAAGGTTATCTCACTTTAATAAGGTAAGCAACCCTAGCCTTCACCAACCTTCCTTGGTGGGGGAAATTCATAACAAATGGGTAGAGCAAAATCTCAAGGACAAAAGATTATAAAATCACTAACCTATTATTTTACAATTTGAACTCAAAATTTAGTCACAACAATCTTCATTTGCAGAACCTATGATTCTACCTTCACTGATGATTTATTGACCTCAAAGAATGACTGAATCAAAGTTGATAACCAAGGTGCACACAAATTCCCGTCATTGTTTTAATAACTAATATATACCCATCCAACAAAGAATCACATGAATCTTTCAAACTCAACTTAGAAATACAAATTTTGGTTTTAGAAAGAAGTTCATTCTCGAAATATAGTTATGTTGAGCATTTTAAGTAATTTCATATTCCTGAATTCTTGCTACACTGCTATATTCTGCTTCTCTTCCTCTCCTTCTATAATATTTTGTTTAATTTTCTCTATTTCCTTTCTCTCTCTCACTCTTTCCCCTGTTCTTGCATGCCACAGCTATCCCAAAAGTGATGGTTCATTCATGGTTTGTGGGCAATTCACCATTCATGGTGTAAACGTAATACGTAAAAAATAATTTGACAGCTGCTCCTATTCTTCATTCATATCTTAAAAACACGTAGCAGGGAAAATATTTGATGACTCATGATTGATTGATTGATTGGGCATGGGTTTTGAGCCATACAGCCCATAAAAAATGTAAAAAATTTTGGCATTTATTTTATATACTTTTATATTCTCACTACTCTTTTTAATTATTAATTTTAATATCATGCATTTAACATGTTTCTTATGTTTCTTAATAGGTGTTGGATTATTGATAGACTCTGAATTTGGAATGGATTATTTTTTTATTAAGTAAAAAAATGTGAATAAAATACTGTTCAACTATGCTTAATATTTATTAGAAAATCAATTAATAATTTTGTATTAAAAATTATTTATTTAAGATAAATAAAATGTTAGAATTTAGAATTAACAATGACTAGCATACTTTTTTGATAAACTTTTATTAATTTCTTTTTAACAATTAATTAATTCAAATAAAAACTAACTATCACAAATAAACTTACATAATTTTTATAATTTCATTACAGAAAATTATTATTTTACATGGTTAAAATAAAATAAAATAATTTAATATTTATTTTTATTTAATATATTTAAATACAAAGATTATTTTATATAGTTAATAATATTTTTAACGATTAATCCAAACTCTTTCTAAAAAAAACGGATAATCAGCTTTTAAAAATAAATTGCAGTAAATGTAGAGAAAACGAAGTTAAACTGTAAGCGCAAATGAATGTAAGTTCTAGACTTCAATTCCATTGCGTTTTTGGAGCATTTGATCTTAACTTTTCTCAATTATATAGTTTTACCACAAATCTCCATTATTTAGATGACTTAAAGTTCTTACGAATTTAGTAATTAGAAACTATTCTGCATCACTCTATTTTTATATATAACTTATTATTATATTTTACAAGGTACACTTGTTTTTGAATGTATTTACATGCAACCTTGACATCCTCGATGAACGTAAGAGAGAATCTTGCTTAGGGACGAGACAAGAAATAGAATTGTCAAGAGGACAGCTGTTCCAAACATGGTGTGAGGAGCTTTTCCAAGTTCCAATTCCAACCAAAAGGAGCCATTTCAGGTTCCGTGACGTGAATGATTATGTGAACCACATACATAAGAAAATAACGTCCTCCAATTATTAAGAATTCTAATAGCTGACGCTAGCCAGTTAAATCATTGTTTGCCGGCGGCAACATGGATGATAAATAGAAACGGATGAAAACTACTCTTCCATGCCCATGTCATTTTTGTTAGCCTTTGTTCCTGAGTAATTTAAGTATGGTATAGTTCAAATCAATAGTTTATTACTGATCTTATATAATTTATTTAATTGACCAATGTTAAAAAAGTTGAATTATTATATATTTAAAAATTAAATTAAATTATTATTTAAAATAAATTGCTTTTTTTAAACATATGTTTATATAAAATGCATGATATAATTCTAGTAATTCATTCTGATTTCTTGTCAAGATATTTTTTTTTAACTCGCATATCAGCCGCTTCTAGTTATATTAAGTTGGATCAATATATCGTGTTCTTCAATTATATTGTTGTAACTTCCATTTTTGTCCAAGTTATTGGGTTTCGTACTTCCGTTCTTTAGGCTCAATATATTTAGACAAGTCTGCTTAGACGTTATCAATTTCAGCTTGGTTAGATATGATTGATGGTTCTTGTGACAAAGATCATCCCTTTATACATACATATATATTCCAATTCTTACGACAATGATCTCAAACGTTTCCTGTGCCTTTCGGGACATCAAGCATCTGAAACACACCAGGACCATAAATAGTGACTTGATTCCCTTATCCAACAGACAAAGTGTCACATTATATAGACTGTTGCGCATATGATGTCTTAACTTTGATTCTATTGCAAACGACAAAGGAAACTAGTATTCTGGTAGTCTTGCTCCATGCAAAGGACCGCGGCAGTACTAAAAGTCTAAAATAAAAGCAACATATGCTTGTACCTTAGCAAAAGCGACACATGAGAAAAATGACAATTGATAAGTTGTAAGTGACATCACTTTCCTTCACTTGATCATCATCCTGTTTTTGGGTTCATATTTATGCAGTGCCAGCAGCTGAGTTTTCGGGAATTGAGGTCTGCATTGAATGAAAAATCAAGCAATATGGAAAGAAATAAGGAAACGCCAAAAAGCAAAGAGACGATCCATTCCCGGGTTATTTTGCATTCTCATTTACTGTGCCATCTCTCGGGTCTCGATCATTCATTGCCCCAACAAGCCACCCTCTATTAACAACAAAGTTGAAGAAATGGTTGCAGGTTTTTTCATTAAAAAATGAATTGAAGTACATCTTTTGCTATGGGAGCGTAAAAAAATATCATAATATATACACATAATAGAATCTGCTTTAATACGTCAATTTAATTAGACCCCACGACTCGAGAACGTCAAAGCCTTCCAGAAGCCAACCAACCAAGAAATTAAACATGATAATAGTAATAACTATTTCAAAATTGCAGGCTTAAAGGATCCCAGCTTCCTTTCATTATCCCCCTATCCATTCCTTGTCATGTCAACTCCCCACCAGCAAATGTCATAACAAATTCCCTGTTACAACACCGAATGTCAGATAAGCGTATACCACATTGACATTGCTTTTACACCTCTCATATCGTTGCCACCTAAGCAAATAACTGCCAGCAAAACTTCAGCACCCGGATGCTATGACATCTAATCGTATCCTCGACAAAGTGATATAAGCTACCAAAACCTTTTCTTTTCAATCTTACCCAGCAACCTAAATGAATGTGGGGTAACCACAAGGACAGTAACAAAACCCATAAGTGCAGTTTGAACATAAAGCAGTAACAGCAAGGGCTTCCAGAACATATGCTGATTTCATCAGATTAGGAGTGGAATTGCAGACAAAACCTTATATCTTGGAGCAGTATAAGATTTGATTTCTAATATTTTAGCTCTGACAAGTGGCTGGGGCATGAGCTTAAGATCGATGGGACATTTCTCCCACAAACTGGAGAAGATTTTTGGCCATTCCCAGCAGAAGAATTTTCAGCTTGTTGCGATTGTGAAGTGTTCACTGACAAACTAACTTTACTTCCTTCCGAATTTGGTTTCATGTTGCCCCCACTAAATGGAGTTCCTGCAGCTGTTGCACACAAAGGCTGGTTGCTATTGGGTAGTTGTTGGCCTTGGGGTGGCACGGATGTGATGTAATTTCCCCCAAAAGAAATTTGCATATGACCCTGCAAAACTCTCCCCTGCTCCTGAGAAATTTTTTTGAGGGTGGGAGTATTAATAATAGATGGGTGATGAACGTGAGAATCTGTAGATCTACCCGAGGTCTTAGTGTGAGAAGCTTGGTTCGAACTTTTGCTTTGAGAAAGAGGTGGTGAGAAAACATGGGCATTGTTTGTATATTTTGTAGCAGTAGTATTGGTGGATGATGCTTTATATCGAGTAGCCATGGAAGGTTGGTGCTGTTGCATACCACTCTGCTTCTGAAGCTGAAGCAACTGGGGTGGCTGTTGAGAACTAGAAGCATTACTAGAAAGAGGCACACTTGTTATTGCAGTTGAAGCAGTGGTGTGACTAGACCGGTTTCCATTTGTAGGAGATAGCACAAAGTTAAGATTCTTTGATGAATTATCAAAAACAAGGGTGGTTGGTCCATTGGTTGAAGACTTCCCATGAGTGGTTTTCTTTTCATCATCTTGGTGTGAAGAATTTCCTCCACTCTTTGCTTCAGTAACTGGATAAGTCTTTTGCTGAGTAGTATGAGGTGTGCATGCAGCTTGATACCCTTGCCAAGCAATATCAGGCAGGCTATGAAGTATCACAGGGTTCTGCGTCATGGATGAGAAGTTCAGGTTTGAAGGAACACTGGTACCATTGAATGCAGCAAATGATATTGCAAATGCTTGAGATGGTATAATCTCAACTCCCCCCTTTATGTTCTGCTGCTGTTGCAGTTTGTCACCAACATTTCCACCATTGCCACTAACAATATCTGATGTTGCAGATGGCTTGAAAGAAAGGTTCACAGGTTGAACTGGAATTGTGAAGTTCTGCCCATGCATATTCTTCTGGGGGTAAGATGGTCGATTAACAACTGAAGGCACATTCCCTCCACCCATCTCAATCTCGTGCTTGCGAAGATGAGATAGTGACGTTTGTCGCTTTTGTGACTGTTGTTCTACAGTTGTAGAGGTTGAAGTATTGTTGCCATTACTTTGCACGCCTTGTGACTGCTTATGAGATGATGAACCACTTGATGTGCTAGCATTAAGATAACTTGGTTGAACCAGAGCTTGTGACTGGGAGTGCTGATGTGGATGCTGAAGAGGATGGAACGTTTGGGAAGAGTAGAAAGGCCCATTGAGTAAATGTGTTGCTTGTGCAGCGCTTGCACCTCTGGTTGCTGCAGTTGCTCCAATAGAAGTTGAAAAAGGGAATGAATAGCCATTATTGTGAACTATTGTCATATACGGAGAACCATTGGCTGAAAAATTTGGGTAGCTAAAGCTTATTGCAGGAGCAACTACTGGCAAATTTGAGGAAGTACCCAGAGATCCACCAACTGAGCCATGGGTCTTATTATATGAGGAAACGCTGTTAGGGGAATTCACACCTCCTGCCTGATTAGTAGCTGCTGCTACTGATGCTTGATGCTGGCCAGGAGGATATAAGAAAACAGGACCATGCTACATTCAAAATTAAAGCTCGTTAGATTCCAAAATAAGGGCCACAATGAAACCAGTAAAATAGATAACAACCTTAACTTTTTAACTGCATAGAAGCAATTAAATGACAAGACCATACCACTAAATTACCAGTTGACCCGGGATTAGAACCTTGCTGGACCATAAGCTGCACCCTCTGTGTTGTCGAATCCATTGGGTTGGCATTATTAGAACTTTTTGCTGCAGAAAGACTTGGATGGTTTGATGTAACCTGCCCTTTCTCTTGAGTAGCATTTTGGTTAACAGTTGACAAGTGTTTTTGAGATTGCTTCCTAAAGATCATACTTTCTGCAGAGGGCACACTGTTGACATTGTTGGGTTTTGCGCCACACAGAGAACTAGAGCCAATAGCTGCTGGCAAGGGGGGGGTCATCTTTGTAAACTGCTGATGTAAGATGTTACAAGCAATGTAATAATGGGTTGCACATCTCTTTGGTTGAGGTTGAGAAGGAACAAAATTCAGATACTGCATGTTTGAATTACGAAACATGTTAAATATATATAGGTAGGAAGCTATTATATTAGCACTCATGAGAATAAAGAATGGACTCAAATAAATACAACTAGAAGAACAAATTTGTGAGAAATTATAATACCTGTGGTGTCAATGATCCTGTGGTTTTATCTGTCTCCAGAACTTGCTGCAAGGGCGGCATGTGTCTGCCAATCATAGTTATTGACCTTAGCAAAGCCACATTATTGATACAACCAAACATATAATACAAAAGTATAAGAATGAAGAAAAGACATATTTCTATAAAAGTGAAATAGATTGGGCTGATTCAGCCGTTGATAATCTAATACCTAATAGAAGAGAGACTGCTTGGCCGTCTTGATTCAGTCGTTGATAAAGACATTGAAATAGATTGAGCTGAAGAAGTAAAGAAGCGTTAGAGACTTTTAACTAATTAAGAAATGGGTCAGAGTTGACATGTGGTGTATATCTAAAAAGAAAACTATAAGTCAAAAGTATCAAATTAGTTACCAGCTTTCTCTACTTTGGAAATCGACGATATAGTAGGCAGTTCCTTATTCCTATCCTGCTCTTCCAATTTACTGTTTGTCGTCCTCATGTCATTGTCATTGTCATTGCTTGGCCTCTCCAAATCATGTTGTATCACATTTAAATTTTCCTTAAACGTTACCATATTCGCCTCTTTGATTTCTTCTGGAGTTTTCTCTTTGTTAACTGGTCTTTCCACCTTGTCTTCAACCTTGAGAGTATCTTCCCTCTTCTGAATCAGAAATTGAGACAAATTGGAGCACTAAACAGAGAAATGGGCAAAAAATTAATTTCAAGATTGATAATCAACCTACTAACCATTCCTACATCCAGTGCCACAGATTTAGTTTCTGATGTGAAATCATCCCTTGACAAGTCATCCCCTTCTGGGGACAGCACCATAGGAGGAGGAGCCTGTTGTAAAGGCACTCTTTCTTCAGATATTGGACAGCAAAAATCAACGGAAACATAATCAGAATGCGAACAACAAGGATCCTCACCATCAGATCTATCTCAAACTTGCCTACTCGTTGGGTGTTGGCCTCTGGAACAGCAGACATCCTGATAAATTGAGCCACAAGGAAAAGGGAGCATTGATCAGACACCAAAACATGTTCAATAGGAAAAAAAGTAACAATTATTCTTTGGTGCTCACACTCTGGTAGAAGCTGCATCCTCTTCATCAGCATTCAATTTGGAGAATGATGGCGATTCCCTTGTAGATGAGACGGATCTTTCATCAGCTGAAGCACCAAATCCACCACCTGAATTCACTTTTTCTTCCCCAACGTCCGCTTTTAGAACCCCTAATGATTCATTTTCATGACCAATAGCACCACCATCATGACAATCCACATCAGCAGGTTGCTCCCTCCGAATTCTGACTAACTCTTCAGCTGAGTTATTCGGAACGACAGTGGAGAAATTGTTGTCTTCCACGTTCTTCTTCTCTGTGATAAAAATGCCAATGAATAAAGTAAAAAAAAAAAAAAAAACACAGAAGATGGAAGAGAAAATCTCCAAAAATTGAAACCCACCAACATGATAAGACAAGGAAGCATGGTGATTGACACTTGCTTCAAGCATTTTCGAAGAAGACTCGTGGTTCTTTGAAGTCTTCAAACCGTACAGAAGCTCAGCTATCTCAATCTCGATCTCTGATGAAGGCGATTTCGATGTCTTAGGAACAGCTTCAATCGCTTTCTGCAACATACACCTCAAAACTCAATTCAAAAATCAAATCCTTTTAAAAAAAAATCGAAACAGAAGAGAATACAAAACTTATGCAGACCATCTTCTTCCGAACAGCAGAAACATTCGAAGAAGAAGGCGAGGCCGGTTCCCCACTTCCGGGGGAATTCGACCGTTGCCGGCAATTTTGATCCTCCCCGCCGCCGCCTGCGGAGACCCAACTCTCGTGAGACCTTTTCACAGAAGCTGCAGAAACACATCAAACATCAAAAAAAGAAAAAACTAAGGAACAACTCAGTCACCAGAAAGACCAAAAACGACTGAAATAGAAAAACGAAAAACCGCTTTTGTATCCTCGCAACCTGAACGAGCCTTCCTTGGAACAGTCACGCCGATCATCTCCTCCGTTATCTTAAACGGCGGCGGTCTGGCGGGCGTTAGGCTCCGGCGGTGGTTTTGATCGGAGGCGGACGACATAGTATTAGCTGAACGGATCTTAGAAATCCCAGCGTCTTGAACGTCGTCGTCTTGTTCATTTCCAACGCTCTCTTCGGTGCTTTGTTCACCTTCGTCCCTGTGAGAGTGAGAGCCTCTCCTCCTCTTGCTCCTGTTCGCCGAATCCCTATCCCTATCTCGATTCCTTCCCCTCTTGCTCGCACCTTCCCTCAACTCCATCGCTCCTTCCTCTGTCACCGAACAAAAATAGGTTAAGAAACAACGCACACTAGCTAAGAGAAAACATAGTAATAAGAAGAAGAAGAAGAAGAAGAAGGATTCGTGTTGATACCGGAAGAATCTCTGAGAGCTATAGTTCGATGTCTGCGTCTCGGAAATCCATTGGTAGAGGAGACCATGGATGATCTTCGGGATTCTCTGGTTCTATCCATGAACTTCTTCTCCCTTCTCTCATGTAACCAAACTCGCTAATATATCACGTTCCAACACCAACGGCGGCGAGTCACCGGAATTCCACCGTTAACGGCAATGCTCAGTCTTTGCAGAGCCTTACACTTCCCTTCTCTGCTCTCTCTCTTTCTTTATATTTTCGTTTCGCTCTGTTTGCTTTATTTAAAGAGATAATTATTAAATGTAATAATTAGTTAATTAATTAATTATTTAATAATCTGATCTTTCCTTTTTTTCATATGCGTATAGAAAAGGCGAAATGGTTAAATGTTTCACTTTGACTATTCACACATCACACTCGCGCAAACAGGAACGGCCTAGATTTGCGAATGAGGCTTTCGGCGCTACGGATGCCGTTGGATCGGGTCATATCCCACGGGCGTGGTTTGCCCCTGCCAACGTGGCAGAGAAGTTGTTGCTGATGGAATATCGAATGCCAACTTAAAGTGGCCGTGTCTCACTTTATTTATATATCTTTTCTTTTTTCAACAATAATAATATAAATAAATGCTCTTTTCCTTGTCCATAGACACGCGTTTAAGGTGCGCGTGTCTGCAATCGTCGACCAATACGCCGGCCCCAGCTCAGCCGCAGGGGGGTGCAGTTGGGTGGGGTGAATATAAAATAGGAACTAGTACCACAACTGTTCCTAAATTAAGAGCAGTTTCTAATTATATATTATATACCAGAAATTAGTATTGCTGATTATTTTAATTTAAATTTAAACCTATCCTCGTCCTTATTATACATGTACACATTTTAATAGTGCTATTAGTTAATGCAATGTCCATAAAAGAAATAGTAATTGAAACTTAGACCAAATAGGTTATATATACTTGACTCAAACACATCAAAGCAAAAATTCAATACGGTACTGTATATAATAAACCGACAGTTATCTGTTTATCGAAGATATGGATTTAAAAATCAATTGAAAAATTTGTATATAAAAAATTAAACATATTTTTAATATTAAATATAGAAACTAAACTTTTAATTTACGCTACATTTAATCTTAGTCGTATTCGGATCACAGAACATTGACAACATTTTTGTAATGTCCAAATTTATTAAATTATAAAAGCAGGGAATTCTTCTAGTGCACGATTCTTTCTCCCATGTCTTCCTAAGTTGGCAAGATTGTGATTTTTCCATTTTTGTATTCCCTTGCTTACTCTTGTTACTTGAATTATCATATAAAAAATTGTCTCTACGGTTAGTTAGTTTGATTCTAAAATTTAAAATTCATCGTCCGCATTATTCGTTTATATAATCCCATTAAAATATCACGATGACAAGACACGTACAAATTATCAATTGATTAAAATATTCATTAAATACTACTGAATAGGTTTCAATTTAATTGCACGCATCAGTCAATGGTCAAATTTACGATTATATATGTATATATGTTTTTAAAAGTAAAAGTAAAGTGAGAGACAGGGAAATATCTTGTGGGACGGTGGAGACAGGAGAGATAGAATGTAGGTGAAAATTGAAATTGAAGATAAAAATTGAGAAAGACATGGAACGGTGATTGATGGTGAAGTGGGTGGTTTCCCTTCCCAAAACGAGGAGTGAGTCAAACATATATTATTATATTAATAATGAATATATTATTCTTTTTGATTTTCTGATATTCCTTTTATGGGCTCCACGGTGGGACTGCTCTGGTTAAGGTTAGGGAACCAAAACCAATTCATCTGCAAGTGGGGACCCACCACTTTCAAATCCTACGTAACATCTCTCTTTCCTCTTTCCTTTGCTTTTTTCTCATTGTCGTCCAATGTGGCACCGCCAACCATCAACCTCGTGTTTCCAATTCACTCTTATTGACCCTACCATCATTGCCCATACTCAGACACAGTGCTACACCCAACCCACGTGGATTTTAGTGGGCCACCACTCATCAAAATTAAATATTAGGTCTTTCTTTCCAAGTTCTAACTAACATGTTTACGCTTTGTTTATACCCGGTAAGTTGTTTTCCCTGGTTAATGTTTTTTAAAATCATAGTAAAATTTTTTTATATAAAAAAAAACATTTCTAATATAGTGTTTTGGAGAAAATTACAAAAATATAGCAATTTTTTTTTAAATTATAATGTATTTTATCGGTTAATGTTTATTAAAATTGTAGTACGTATTATTACCTTAATTTTCTCTCGTAAAAAAATTAGATAAGAGCTCAATGTAAACTCTATATTGAGAAAGCTTTTTAAGTTAAAATCAATTTGATTTGTTTTATTGTAAAAAATAATGAATAAAAGTTTGCATATGACTAATAAAAATTGATACAAATAATAAGCAGCTCACTATCGTTTTAATTAAATTTTAAATTTAAGTTTTTATATATATAAAAAAAATTAATAATAAACTCATTTATGTGCACAAATCGGATTAAATCTAAATTAAATTAGATAAAATTAAAAAATATATATATTTACAGCTAATTTGATTGAGTTAATTTAATTTACTCATTCCATGATTATGTTTGAATACAAGAAAAAATAGATGATAGTTTTTATTAAAAAACTTTTTAAATATATGAATTTGATTTTTCTATTTTTATTTGAATTTTAGTTTGTTTTCTTTCGTCTTATTATATTTCTTTAAAATAAGCGCGAGATAACACTGTGATGATGAGGTTGATAAATTATTTAAAAAAATAAAAATATTGTTTTTTTTACTAATATAGTTTTGTTTGGTTTTAGGTAAACCACTTTACAATTTTTTTAAAAAAAAGCGTCTAGCCAGTTTAATTTTTTCTAATATTATCATTAAAATTTCTAAAAACATATTTTATTTGCAAGTGTCTCGTAAAATAGTTAATAAATATAAAACAATGAAAGAATATAACGTACAGAAATGAATAAATAAATAAAAGAACTACTATTTCATCATCACCTGTTTATTATTCTGTAAAAAAAAAATCATAAATAAAAAATGTATTTATGCATCGTTCATTTGTTGTATTAATTTACGTCAAGTAATGATAAATAATTGGGATGTTTAAGTTTAAAGAAAAAATAAAAGAAATCTTCATGTTTTTAAAAAATTTTATCCTAGAACAAAATATAAATTACAAATACAATTATAGCAATTCCTTATTGTTATTATCATATGGAATTTTTTAAAAAACACCTTTATCGTTCACAGTTTGCGTGTTAAAATACCTTAATCATCATTCATCACTCATCACTTGGTAAAAGGTAAGAGCAAATTGAGTTTTAACATATATATAACATTTTGTTGTATAATAATGGCAAATAAAATATAACATTAATTTTGAAATTGATTTTAATAATATAAAATTAATATTTTTTATTAAAAAGTAAAAAAAAAAACTCTATTTGTTGGTAAAAAATATTATTTATAGATGCTTAAAATTAATTAATTTTAAGCATGAGAAGGATCCATAATTTTATATTATTTTTTAGCAAAATCCACCGTAAAGAGTTTTGGGATCGTAATGAATGGTATACGGTGTGACATCTGTGTTACTGTGTATGTATATGGCGAAATATTCAAACTGACATGATAAAAATAATAATAACAACTCCTAAAAATATTTCTGTTGAAAAATTAGCCAAATCCAACGACTAGTTTCAATAAAGAAGTGAATGTAAAGAAATTTATTATTAATTATTTAATCAGTACATTAAAGTTAATTAACAAGACTTTTAAGTTTGTGAGATCCCCTTTAAATTCTTTAGTGATTTTATCTATTTGTTTTTAAAGTTTTTTAGTTCGTAGCTTTTTTTCAATCACTTTTTTTTCACTAAAATGTATTTATAAAGAAATCTCTCATACTTTGTAACGAAGTATGACATGTGCTTATGAAAGTAAGAAATTGAAATAGAATAAACCAAAAAAATCAATCTAAAACGAATATTCACGTTTTCCTAATTAAAGAAGGAGATAAATTGTGGGGTAAAAACATCTGAAAATATTAAGAAACTATAAGAATTAATAGAGTAATTTTAATCTAAAAAATATTTTTAATCTTATAATTTTTTTTTTATTCTCTTTATCTTTTTTTCCTGGACTCAAGTGAGAATCTTTAAAACAACATTTCGGTGACAGAGCATTCCCTGTACTCTGATAGTGTCTAATTGAAAAAAATACCAATGAATGGCCGAATATGAGAGTCCTTGTCCTTTCTTTTACTTGCAGAAAAGGTTGAATCTGAAGTAACTTGAACATACCCTAATATAAAAAACGCACGATTATATATATATATGTATATATCTTAGTGATCGATAGCATGTTCCTAGATGCACAAAGATGCCTTTATCCCTTTTTGAAAGCTTTGGCTATAATTAAATGGTCGATAATAATATCTGCATCCTTTGGACAAAAGAAATGGGTATATAACAAGAGTGGTAAAATTCAAAGCAAAATATATTTTTCTGACACAAGAAAAAGCGAGCACTATATTTTAATTCAAAAACAAATAAAAGTACACGTTATCGAAAACTGTATTATACAAATGTAATGCATGATCAAGTTCTACTCTTGAGGCACAAACAAATAAATCGATTATAAAATTGAAAAAATAATAATATGAAAAGCTAGGAGAGGGACCCCCTTTCCTCTTCCACTTGTCCTATACTAATAATTTATTATTGGTAATGCCCTCATGATTAAGATATAAAATTAAGTTTATGCGCACCTTCAATGAGATTTGGTCATTGATTAATGAGCTCAATCTACCTGCACATGACCAATCGCGATTTGAATGTTAACATAATACTAGTTTATTAAACTAGCTAATTGAGCTTGTTGTGTGTATTTTGACCTAAGCTTGTAACCTTAGCATGTATAATAATTTTTCTAACGAACATGCACAAGTGATGATAAAAATAATAAAATATTTAGCGCGTTAAGACAAACCCACTCATTCAACTTAAACAAATAATAAAACCAAAGAAAGAAATCTAATCTCTAATTAATTAATTTTGTTGGATTCAAGTTGTCTTCATAGACAAAAGCAGCAATAATATTAATTTTATTTGGACGTATCTATTGACGTGGCAAGCACTGGTTGTTCCACATTGGAGTTGCGTTCTTGAATAATGAATTCTTCCGGGAATGTAAATTTGTTTCGTTGCTAATCGTGGAGATGGCCATGATTAGGAAATACAGTATTTAATTACAATACGACAGTAAAATATTCATTTTTTTTATATATGTAAATGTGTTCTGATAATGCTTTGTGTTTTTTTAAGTCAAGTTTAGCATGACGAAACTATTTAATAATGTTTATGTTGCAAGCTGTAAATGGAACACTCTGGACCAATGTTCAAAAAATGTTAGGTTTAGGACTTTATATTTTTTATTCATTCAAAATACATTTAAAGAACTTCTGATTGACAGTTATCATCTTTCATCAATAGAGCTGAAATTTGAAGGGAAAACAATGTTAATTAGTAGATATCTATAAAAGAGAAAGACGAGAGACATTTTTCATAGGAAGTAAAAAAATATAACAAGATGAGTTTTTTTTTTTAATTAATCACTCTTAATCAGGTAATTATTTTTTTAACAAACATTGCTGGTTGGCATATTAGCAAAGATTTTTTTTTTTCCCAATCAGTAGAATATTAGTAAGAGAGAGAAAACATGTCTATTTTGGTTTCAGAATGCATACCTTTGTAGATCATGTCACCTCAAGATGTTTTGAACGATTAAGACTAATCTCAAATGATCAATGATCATTTGAACAAACTCAAGAACATAGACAGATACTAAACTCAATTCACATCTAATCATTGAATTTATTTGCTAAAAATGAGACAAACTAAAAAAAGGTATTAATAAAGTTTGCCACCCTACAAACTTCTCGCTGGCTTTAACATTGTTGCAAGTTGCAACAACACAGCAGGCATGGGCCGGAGTTACATGGGCTTTCAATATAACCTATTCCCATAATGTATATGATTTGTTATTATAAACCCAAAAAATTCAGAGGTGACATGATTTGGTATGCTAAATCCCAAGGCACCTAAAATATAAGGAAAGAAAAACTATGCGGATGGATCATGGATGCACCAATTTAAGAATGGTGCATAGTAAAATCCTTGTGTCTTTCAATTAGGCGTAAGGAAACTAGTTAGAAGAAGTGGCTAATCAAACTCGCACCATAAAATTGATCCGGTCGCATGACATAATTCAACGGTGCATAATGGAAATAAATTCAATTTATACACACGAACTCACCTGTTTTCAATTTGAAAAAAATCTATTAGAATCAAAAGTTTGTCTTTCATATTACAGATAAACATGTAATTATCCAACCCAGAGCAAAGTAGACACAAAATTTGACCTCCTTTAGATAGAACTCAATATTTACTTTTTGTATAATGGCATCAAACTGTCAGCAACTCCTGAAAGACAGAGAGAGGTTACTTGTCAAACCACACCACAAATAACATCTGTCATAAGCTATCATTGTTAAGTGGAAATATATAATACCTTTTCCTTTTGTTTGAAGATGGTATCGACCTTCTTCATATACTCATCTGTCAGCTTCTACATAATAAAATAATTACCATGAGCAAAATAACAGAGGAAAATTGTCTATTCTTTATCTGAGAAGATAAATTGGCTTGTAAATTCATCGTTTACTAATAATAAACTTTTATTTAATTAATTAATTAATTATGCTTATAGGGAAGTTTTACACAGATATTGAGCAGGCAAGTGCCCAATAAAAATTTGCTGTCTACAGTAAAATATGAAGATCATCCCCAATATATTATGAAGACAAAAATTGTCGTGTCTACAGCTTTCAAAAAATTAATTCCATTCTTTGCTTCCTACAGAATCAAACATTGGTGTAGCGGGTAAAAACAACCCTCTTTAATTGGGGGCAGGGTGATATTTATTTTTTGTCACACTGTTAATTGCATGTTGCAGGCTGGGTTTCTGATAGTTCCATTTCACACAATTGCCCCATCCCGAAGAAAAATAGAAAAGGCAGGTGGCACACATGGTGGAACTTTAAACAGACTAAAACTACATAGAACCCAATATGAGTGGTCTCAAGTTACCTGCAAATCACTTGACAAATCCTTCACATTATCTTCAGAGAGCTTTTTCTCCTATAGAAAATTCCAACAAAATGATTAACAAAACATTAAAATCTAACTATCTAAAAGAGGAGGAAAAATGACAGGCAAGAACCAAATCACTGAACAGAGTTTAGGTATAAGTAATTCAAGGATTCATACCTTCTCAAGTTTATCATAAGCTTTCAATGCATCTCTTCGTATATTCCTCAAAGCCACCTATAAAAAAATGAATATGCATAATCATTCAAAAGGGAGTTACAAACATTTGCAATTTAGCAAATATAATATTATTTATTCTAAAAGCATATACGATATAAAGCTATATAACTTACAAAGAAATTAATGTTATAGTACTGTAACCAAACAATAAGCATTCTTCAAATATGTTAGAGCCTTTAATTATTACGCATTATTAACTTGGATTCCTCACCTGATTACAACTACAAGTTTCAGAATAACAGGGGAAGAAAACAGAATTGGTATTTAGAATTCAACAATTGGCTGATGTTCGTTCCTTCTTGATCATAAAAGAGGTTTTAGGGGGAGTAAATCCCTCAAATTGGCAATAAATAAGATCAAGCTCAATATCTCAACTGTAAAGTATTTTACAAATGTACCTTCCCTTCTTCAGCTTGTTTAGCCACTATCTTTGATAGTTCCTGGAAAGAACAGCAAAATAAAACAAAATTATAGCTTAATAGCTCATTTTTTTAAGATTAAAAAAATGATTTTATGATACATCATGAAATTAACATATTCATTTAGACCTTCAAAAGGTTCCCTATAACCTACTATAAAGAATCATCATATAAAAATGGCACCATCTCATAAACAAAATAAATTGATAATAAAAATAATTATATTGGACATATGGCCAGGAATACAAAGTCAACTTTTCAGTGTAGAAATCACTTTTCTCATGGGTCATGGCAGCTGAAGGGGTGAAGCTACACTATTTTGTTAATAATTAAATAACAAAAGAGAACCAATTAGGAATAGTACTTTCAGTCAGTGAAATTACAGAATGTGTTTCACAGAGAAGGAATGAGAAGTCACAAGAAATATCATAAAATGATAATAGGATAAACTTAGACACTGCAGCATCAATGGAACAGGAAAATACCTTCCTCCTTTCAGATGTCAACTGTGGGATGCTCAATCTTATTGCTTCTCCATCATTATTTGGTGTCATACCAAGATCAGAGCTAACTATCGCTTTCTCTATAGCCTTCAAGCTGGAAAAAAAAAAAAGCAATAACCAAGAATTAGCTAAGTAGTATTACTGTACATACAAGATGCCATATCATCACATTCCATCACAACTAAAAAGATTGTTTTGTGTGATTGAAAAATGCCTCAGATGGGTGTGTATATTGTCGATCAATGATTAGTATACAAAAAATAACAGAATACACAAATAAGGCATATAGACCATTACAAGTACACCATATATGAAGTAGAATAGAATAAGAAAAAAAGCTTGGATAAGATCAGTTTGATGTTTTTTATCTATTTCAACCTCTCTGGTTTGTCATGTATAAGTGCATACCATACCTGGATTTGTCATATGGCTGTACCATAAGTGAACTGGCATCAGGAATGCTAATTTGAGCAATGCTCTTCAAGCTAACTGGAGTTCCGTAGTATTCCACCTAGAAACACATTGTGAAACAGCTCATCTACAGAACAAAACTCTTTACAAAATAAAACTAAATGCAGGTGATCACTTTAGTTTGGCATCTTCTATCATTACATAACTATATGTGAGCTTGGAAAGTTTAACCAAATCAATAGTAGAAGCCATCAACTCGATGTACCAATATGAGGCTCCTTAGTATCATTAACATTACTAAAGAACAATGTGATAATCAGACATGGCTCCAGTGAAAAATACTCAACCAATCCAAATCAACTGAAAGGGGAAGAAAAAGGGTAAAACCAAAAGCTGATAATAACATATAGGCATCATGCAAAGAAGAGCAAACCATGACAAACAAATGCGAATCACCATGCATTAACCCTTCTGATGGAATCACTGAAACAAAAGAACTCATTCCAAGGCAGAAATTGAAAGCATACCTCAATTTTGTCAAGCATAGCTGGGTTTGCTCTCCCTGTCCTAATGGAATTGAAATTTGACCGCACATTTTCAATAGTCCTTTCCATTCTGCTTTTCTAAGGAGAGAAATGTAGAAAAATATAGAGAGGGAGAGGTTGAAGCATTCTAAGACGCTAGAAAAACAAAACTTTAATGAGAATCTTACAACATCTTTCTCAATAGCGGCCTTTTCGGCTTCTATTTCTTCAATAGTAGCAGCCCTCACGAGTAGCGTTCTGGATTTCCAAAAAACAAACCAATTAGAAGCACAGAAGCAGTTGAAAAACAATGGCATATAGGTTCACTACCTCCTATGCGAGAACCCTTTGGAGTGGAGGGGTGTGCGAGAAAGTGTGAAAGCATGAGGAAGCTTTAGAGTTGCATAGCTTGCAATTGCAGCTGTAGGAGAGGTGAAGGAGCGCGTTGTGTTGTAAAAAGAGTGAAGGGTTTTGGGATGGTTTTGGAAGATGGAACGGACCGAAGTTGTCGGAGAGAATGAGGTTGCCATGAGAGAGACACCCTACGCCTTGTGTTGTGTTGTCTTTGTGGATAACAACTTTCTCCACTCTTTTCAACCCTCTTTTCGCCTTATTGCAATTTGCAATGCCACCACCATCCTCAAATTTGCTCAATCACCACGTTTAATCTACCCTACAAAAATAAATCCCCCCACTTTTATTTTAATAAAACAAATTGTTCAACTTTAAAATAAATCAACATTGTAATTACAATAGAAGCACCGATAAGATCTAACATTGTTGCGAGTGTTATAAAATAGTTTGGTTCAGAGAAAATTTGACAAAGTTATTGATTTTTTTATTTTGATAAAAAAATTGTTTATTTATGCTACTTTTGTATATTGTAATTTTTCTTAATAAAAATATTAAAATGAAATCATATATTATAAAATAAAGGACAAATAATTCTAATTTAGTTTTTCTGTTTTGTTTTGAAATAGAAAGGAATGATAAAAAGATAAATTCATTTTCTTCACGCCTTAAAAGAAGATAATAATATAAAAATAAAGTAATATTTTTGTCAAATATGATCTTAGCCAAATCAAGGATGATTTAATTGTTCAGAATGTTCAATCTACAAGGGTTGTGACACAACTTGTGACAAATGATAAGAAATTTAAATGAAAGACTTTAGAATATAAAAATGTAATGTTTTGAGTGAAAATTTTAAATATATATATATATATATATATATATATATATATATATATATATGTTTTTAAAAATACCTGTTTAAAGTAAACTTTTTCACTAGTTTTTACTTGATTTTGGCCCGTTTTGTGGCTGTTTGATTCTTTGGATCAGTCCAAAACACTGGTCCTCCTTATTTGAACTAAATCATTTATAAATATTAATTAAGCCTTTAAAATATTATTAAATAATTTATTTTTTGGGGTAAATTTTAAATGCATCTTTAACACATTTTTATAAAAAAATTTATTTCTTAATTTGCTAACCAGTATGTTTACAAAACTGAGTATTATAATATACATATTATGTGCTTATTAAGGATATCTCTTGACTGATGATTGAAGATTAGTACCTTATAAGACATAAATATTATTAAAATATGCTTTGTTTCTCTTAACAAAATATTTCTCATGCATACAACAAAAAAACGAGCCTTGATTGTTTTGCTTAAAAAACTTACTCATCCACTAATAATGGTTACTTTCTTCGTTATTAAACCATTTTATTTTTTCTGAGTTTTGCATTTTTTTTGTCTAAGTTGAAGGGAAAAATAATCTGTTTATTGTAAGGTTCGTTTTAGTTTTTACTTATGTAAAGATAAGGATTTTATGCAATGATATTACTATTAAAGAAGATTTTGGCCATCAAAAGAAGTAATTTTTAATTTAACAAATTGACAAATATAGCTATCTTAGTAAAATGGTTAAGATTTAATATTGAGCTTGGTTATGTGAATTCTTTACAGTTAATGATTCAGAATCCACGTCAAAAATTTTACCAAAATTCTTATTTTATGTTTGGTTTTTATTGGAATGGATTCTTTCCTGATAATGCATGCAACGGATTTCAAACAGATTGACAAAATGTTTATTTATTTTTTTTAAATTATATAAATGTCATTTTGTTATTAGTCAGAATCATTTTTGTTTGATGGGCTCACTACTCATTAGCTCGATCATGGACTTTGGATCTCTCGTTTGTGGCAGTGATGTTGATTGGGTTTTTTAGTTTCCATGTTTTGCAGAATCCATGTGTGTTGCGTATAATGTGGGAGATTCTGCTTAATGGACTGTTAAAGGCCTTCTAGATTTAAAAAGTGGGCTTTTACTAAGAGGATTTATGTGGGCAATACTCTTAAAATGTGCTCTAACTTATGGTCTGTATAATGCTATTAAACACAGATTAAAACTACTAATAAAATGTGGCAAAATCGAATTAAAATGTTTAAAAATATTCAAATTAAACATATGACATGTTTTAAGTTTGTACAGGAAATATTACATGTTTTTTAGAGTCAAATATTCTCTCTGTTTATTTCCATTCGTTTCTTTGTCTATTTTCTAATCCAACCATTAGAATTATTACAATGAAAAATTTATTTTTAAATTATGAATTCAATGCTTATAATTTTGTCTATTTTCTATAAAAAGATGTTGAGGATTCATTCTGATTTTTCTACAGTAAAAAAAAGCCAGACAACATTTGTTCTTTTTTGTTCTGCTCTTTCTTTTTGGAAAAGTCTTGTACACGAATTTTGTAATAAATAACTGAAATGTTGTTTAAGAAAACACATTAGATGAATATTGCTCACTATTTCATTCAAGGAAAGGAAAAATTATGTAGCAGTTGAGAAAACATTTGCAACTTTATTGCACCCTAAGACCTACAAGAGTGACTCTAATGGCTCTACAATAACAAGGACTATGGTCTACATTTCACAAAAATGACCCAACATTACAATTGCATCAATGAAGTATATTAAAAAAAATGGTTTTACAAACTCACTGTATTCATTATAATCTTGGTTGGCTTACCAAATTTTTCTTATATTTGTTTGATCAAACTAGTCTAAATTCTACAGCACTGAATTTATTCTTTCTTTTTGTTGCTTTTTTCTTTTCATATTCCTTAACTTTTGTGTTAATGAAGGACACATTTGCTGTTCACTCAATGCATCTAAATTCTACATCTGACCTAGTGAATATCTTCTATATTTATTCTACTTTCAATTTTCAAGTTTTTAAATATAAACAAAACAAACAAACTGTTTCGATTTGTTTAATATGTAAGTTGTAACTTTAAACGATGGATGAAAAGAAACGAACAAAATATATTATGAGTTGCAAAAGTTGGCACACATGTATTTAATGAAAAATATTAGCAATATATTATTTAAATATACTCTTTAATATCTTTATGTTAATGATTAATTTTTAAAATGTTAAAGCTTTTATTTTATAAATTAATTTCCTTTTTTAAAAATCATATTAATTTTTTAAAAACTAACTAATCACACAAAATGTATTAAATAACATATATATTACTAAGATTCTTCTACATTTGATATGATAGAGTTGTATCAATAACTCTCGTGCATATCTCAATAAGTATCAAAATCGATCGTGCATGTAACCATTATTGTTGGTAATGATGCTGCAATTCTTAGAGCATTCTGCCACACCATTTCACATTCTGCCACACCATTTCACATGTTCTTGAACAGTGCACTTAGTGGTTGTAAACCTGAGTATATAAGATTAACTTTATTTAAAAATAAGTTTAAAATAACATGATGTATGTTTAAAATTTTAAAATTAATCTTTTTCTTTCAATCCAAAAGTTATGCATTTTAATTTTTACCCCTCAGCCTAATAGTGAAGCATAATGTTGGAAGTAGCGGTCCTTCCAAGATTTTTAAATATATATACACAATTATTTTATTATAATTAGTATCTTCTTCAATATGTGGATCATGTTTTCCACAAATTTGTTTAATGATATTCCAACTTATTTGTTAGTGATCGATTCGATCTCTTTAATAAATAAAGATTGACAATATTATTAGGTTTTAAACAGTTGTCAAGAGATCCAGTGGTTCAAAATTTTAATTAAACATGTGTGTGTAATGAATGTAAATTTGTTTATCTTTCATCAAGATGACCCCATTAATTCAAGCATTTTTACCATTAAATTCATACATTCATACATATAAATAAGCATATCCTTCATTTAAAATTACTAAATTTTATGGGAAATTATTTCTATTACAGAAGAAATTTTACAAAAGTAATTTTGAATTCTCAACAATATATATTTGTCTTATGGTTGTTAATTTTCTAATAAAGCTTAATAAAATAATTCCCAATGCCCTCTTATTCTTCTTTTTTGTCAACCCCAATATCCTAACATGTGATTATATACATACAATGGTTGGCCTATACCTCCCTAACAGACACTAGCATATTTCACCAAGCTTACAAGGCATCCTTATTAAATAACAACTCATCGTTAAAATTAATATTAAAAAATATATATATCGCAGCGAAGTTGGCCCCCTTTTTTTGTTGTTTTACTATTTAACATTGTTAACAAGACAGAATAATTCCATTTTTGGGCCTCACACAGCTTTTGCTGTTTGTTTTCTGTTCCCCATAAATAATTGTTGTAGATACCCTTTAGATCTTAACCTGTAAATAACTCACTCAGAAAAAGGAAAAACCAATATTTGAGGCACAGAAATTTTACTAAGCCAATGAACACCTTCGTCTGCTATTTGCAATGTGTCTTTTCAAATTAATGTTACTTTATGCATAGGAGCCCATGTTTGTGTAATATATAAACGAGGAAAGTCCCATGAAGATAAAAACAAAATGCATCAGGTGGAGGTTATAGCCAGAGCGATACATAAAATTTAATTCAAGCGTATGAATTCATGTTATATGCATGTCGTGTTGTTTCGTTTTTCTTTGCAGTAAAAAGGAAAATCACAAGTAAATGATCTAAAACATGGTACCTAAGATTTGTATTTTTGACAACCCTGGTAAGTCTAAATTATAAAAGATTGATGGGATCAACAAAAGCATTATATCAATTTATTTATTTATTTATTTATACGAGTAATCAATAATATTATCTTGACATTAATTTCTTGCCGTACGTGGTTTTCTTAGAAATTTCTTGTTACACACACACACCATTCTCTTCCTCAAATCTGAGGGAAGAGATTTCCAGTTATCTTCCTCTGCAGTTAGACATGGAAGCGCAGAATGCACACAAAATCTAGAAATTAATAATAAAACAAATAATGACTGCGGCTGCTGTGGATGGTATGGTACACTACCACGCTGACTTACTCAGCAAGCGCAAGCCGAGCCGATTCAAAAGCCGAGGTTCGCGCTACCCGCAACCCGATAACAGCACGCGCCCCTGCACGTGCATAGACAGCCCTAATGTCCTAACACGTAAGAGTCTCACCAGACCAAAGAAAAAGAAAATAACTATTTATGTATCCTATGCAAACTCAGGTCGAGCTTTATTAATAATGTATTTTTAATTAATTAAAAAATGAAAATAATAAATAAAAGAGTTACAAACGTGAAATTTGCTGTTTTTATTTAATTAATGAAGTTTTAACCTTTGTAAAATGAGAAAAATAAATAATAAAATAAGCGACAAAGACAAAAGGGTGGCGTATATAACTACCCCCATTCCCAAACGCACCTTTCAGTCCTCTTTGTTTTAACTCTCACCAACTCTACTCAGAGCAGAGAATCAGAGGGAGAGAGAGAACAGTACAAAACGCGCATCGTTGAGTTAAGTCATTTATTCCTCTCAGCACCAGAGCGTGACACACTCTTTGCTTTCTTACCTTCCATTCTTTTACTCTCTCTCTCTTACATTACTCACAACACAATCAAAATTGCTTTCTTTTTGGAAATTAAAGCGAAGAATTAACACACAGACCCCAACTGTGAGTGTGAGTGAGTGAGTCAATGGAGCTCAGTAAAGTCACCCTGGAGATCTTCTCCAAACTCGAACACAAATGGCTATCTCACTGTAAAGTCACCAACAAGACCCGCATTCTCAGCATTGACGGCGGAGGAACCACCGCCATTGTCGCCGGCGTTGCTCTCATTCACCTCGAGGATCAGATCCGTCTCCACACCTCCGATCCCCACGCTCACATTGCCGATTTCTTCGACATTGTCGCCGGCACAGGCATTGGTGCCATTCTTGCCGCCATGATCACCGCCGGCGATGCCTTCGGCAGGCCCCTCTACACTGCCAGAGAAGCCGTTCGTCTCGTTTCCGAGAGGAACTCCGAACTCTACAAGCTCAAATCTGCCGGAGTCTTTCGCCGGCGCCGGAGATTCTCTTCTAGGAGCATGGATAACGTGTTGAAGCAAGTGTTCCAGAGGAAGGAAGACGGACGGTTGTTGACCTTGAAGGACACGTGTAAACCGCTTCTTATCCCTTGCTTTGACCTCAAGAGTTCGGCGCCGTTCGTCTTTTCTCGAGCCGATGCGTCCGAATCTCCCAGCTTCAACTTCGAGCTCTGGAAGGTATGCCGCGCCACCTCGGCCACGCCGAGCCATTTCAAGCCGTTCCAATTCGCTTCCGTCGACGGCAAGACCTCCTGCTCAGCCGTAGACGGCGGCCTGGTGATGAACAATCCTACGGCGGCGGCCGTCACACACGTCCTCCACAACAAGCGAGATTTTCCGTCGGTGAACAGCGTGGAGGATCTTTTGGTCCTTTCCTTGGGTAACGGATCGTCGAGCGCGAAGGCATGCGAGGACCGCACGTGCTCCACGCCGTCGGTTGTTGACATTGTGGTCGACGGTGTTTCCGAGACCATTGACCAGATGTTAGGGAACGCCTTCTGCTGGAACCGTACGGACTACGTCAGAATCCAGGTACATGAAATGTGAATGGCTCTACTTTTTCATCTTTTATCTCTCTGATCTCTGCGTTCTGCTCAGAACTCAGAATCCAGATACTGTTTGGTTTCCTAGAAATCAAGGAAAAGTGGAACGAATGAATTGACGGCGTTTGTTGTTTGACAGGCGTTTGGTTTGGGAAGCAACGCAATGAGGAAGGAGGAGGTGCTGAATGAGAGGGGACTGGAGTCGTTACCGTTTGGCGGGAAGCGGTTACTGACGGAGACTAACGGAAACAGAATACATAGCTTCGTGCAACGTCTTGTTGCGACCGGAAAACCGAGCCCGCCGTCTAGTCCTTGCAAGGATTCCGCCGTTAACCCCCTCGCTAACGGCCGCTAGTTTTTTTTGAACTTTTTTTTTTTTTAAAGATTTTAACGCTGTAAACTGTAACCAATGTTTTTTTACCTAGTTATGCCAGCTGTCATAGTTAATAGCATTTAATAATTTACTACTACTACTACTCACTGGCCTGGGAATTACTACTTATTACCCTCTTCTTTTCATTTTTCCTTGATTTTGATTGTGATTTCTTGGAGTGAAGGGAGGCCTAGTGGCATAATGATCGACTTAATTTTACCCAACCATTGGACTTCTTGTTTACCGTTTTCCCTCTTTGTTTTATAAATTCTCTAGAAACGTAATTGTCAAATCTAAAAACTAACCATAATTTTTCAGATTTAACTCAAATTGAAAGAAGTAATTTTAATCTCAATAAAATATTTTATAGTCATTTTTTCCTTCCACCCCAATGTTTATAAATCCAAGAGTGTTTCTACGTGATTTATGGAGCTTGAGACCAGCTTAATTTTACTCTGGAAAAATTGGAAGGCTGAAGTGTTCTTCGAAACGCTTTTATGGCACATTCAACGTTTATATGATATGTTCCATGTAAAAATTTTAGAGAACATTGTGATACTACCCTATATATCGATATTATCATATTATCAAAACAAAATTTTCTTTTTGGTTTGTCTTGTCGATGATACTCTCTCTTGAGCGGAGTGCCACCATTTGGGCCTGAGAGTTATAGTGTGGACACGGTCGGGACCAACGATATATAGCACTCAGTAGTCAGTACTCACTTCGCATGTTGACGCTTGCCACGGCGGAAAGTGAAGGGTACGCAAAAAAATAATGGCGTTTTGGGTTTATGTCATGTCACGATTAATTCATCTCAAATAATCTTATATAAATTAAATTTTTGGCGTAGTATGCCACACATTTGTGATGTAACAAACAATATAATTAGTGTTGTCAAGAAATTGACAATATTTTACAAGCTGAAAGTTATTTTCAGGTGATAAAACAAATTATATAATGTGTAGAAAAACATGAAGGACAATTAGACCAAAACTGCCTTTTTTAAGAACCCTCATCATGATTTCTCTCACAAGATTAACACAAACTACAGTTTCTTGGACCATATCTGGTGGTTGGGTTTGGTGATTGCAGTGTAGTACTTGCTTCCCACTGTTGGCATCACACAGCCACCCACTGGTCGCTTATGCCACGGCATTAAATAGCCTGTAATATCTGCTGCCTTATTATGTCACTATCTTCGTTGGTTTTGCTTGTGGCAGCTTTCTATATTTTTCAAAACTTTTGTTAATTGTTAGAGAACGCTTTACAAGTTAGGTAGTAGCGAACACCGTGGCACAACATATATACTCCCACACCTCACTATCATTAACTGAACCGATTATGACATTAAGGTAACTTAAGACAAGATTCACGGCTTAGCCCTTTAGCCAATATAAATGGGCGTTCTGACACTGGCTTTTAGCCAACCTATTTGATGTAGACTGGCTCACACTTCTCAGCAGCATATGGATATGGGATTCCACGACATTCACGGTATTAAGTTCTAGGTTTCATCGTTCAGAGTAGTGGGGGACCCCAACTTTTATCAGCTTCTGTGGAAGGAATTCCCTGTGGAATTCCTCAGCGGGTGACAAATTTCGTCCTTCACACTTGTTATTTACTTCCCTTCAAATGCTTTTTCTATATTCATGCTCTCTTTTGACGAGGATTTGCATTTCATCTGAGACTCGGACAACCCTTTTCTGTTCTTGTTGATGAGTACTGTAAATACTTCATTCCAGTTCAATTTTTCAGTGCTTGGCGAACGCCCCTTTATGCAAATCTTTAAGTTTTCGACTATTAAAGTGCAAATCTTAAATGCTCATATTAGGAGCTATTAATAGCATGGCTTTGTTTTCGTATTTGAAATTTTTGGTTTTGAAAATAATGGTGCCAATATGTACTATGCATGACTAAATTAAGTTTGTCATAAAAGATAAGCTTTAAATAAGAATGCGCTTTTTTAAACTCGCAATTTGACTAGGAGACTACAGCTATGTTGGAGTAATAAATGGCAATTGGACTGAGTTTTTTAGATTTATTAGAGTAATCCAATGATAAAATCACAATTTAATGGATAGCTGACTTGTTATAAGTTGTCTTTCATCAAATATGTTAAATTATTATCATCTTTCTTCCAGTGGTCTAAATAGATTAAATAAGTTTGCGTTGATTTTAAAAATAAATGAACACGACTTGAATTGAATCTGCACAATTAAATTTCAGTTGACTCGGGTTGGGTGACAAATACACTTAACTTAAATAAAATGAAAAAAAATAAAATATATATATATATATATATATATATATATATATATATAATAGAGATTTTGGTTGGATGGGTTCACAAAATTTTAAACTAAAACCTGACCTAAATTTAATGAGTTCTACCTATTTTTACCAAAATTCAATGTAGATGTCCGATCCAATTCAATTTTTTTCCATTACCAGATGACTAGAATCGCGGGTGTAGTTGACTTGTATGCATCCCCCGCTTCCAATAGCTCTTGAACAAACAAATAATTTTACAAAGTAATTATATTTTTATGCCCTTTATAGGGTGTATAATTTAAAAAAAAAACAAAAAAATGAAAATTTAAAACTAGTATTTGGGTGTTATGTTTTGTTCTAAAAATAGTTGTGATGGCTGCCAATAGTCATATTATTGAAACATCTTAGTTAACTTTGACAATGGAAATGAAGCCACGCTCGATAGCTTAGCGGCTTCAACTTGGGCCGTTCGGTAAATGGGGTGGCTGTTGTCAGTTGTGACGCTGAACGATAACAAAGTCTCACTATTTTTTACTATTACATATTTTCAACAACATATAATAAAATATATAATAATATTTTATTAAATTTTATATGATACATAATATACTAGTAATGTTAAATATCAAAATTACGAGTTACGAGTTTAATAAAACATAATAAAATCCTATTTTTTCATTAAAATAATATTATTTAACATTAAAATACGACTTTTATGCCCTCTTTATAAATTCCAAAATAGCACATTTAAATAAAAATATAAAAATTGCATTTTATTTTACTATCTAATACAGTGTTTGTTCTTTTTTTTTTATAGCTCTTTTAAATATTACTTTTACATAAAAATAAAATCTCACAAATTTACTATTAAAGTTTTCATCCACTCTACTTTTCGAACACTTTAAAAACTGTACACAAACTTTACAACTTTAGTCACCAAACTCTTTTTTTTTTAAATATTAAAACATGGTATTTTAGAATAAATTATAAAAATATAGGAGCTTTTTAATAATCGTCAAGATATTTTTTAGTATTTAAAAATATTATTTTCTTAAATTTGTCACTGATAATTTTTATTTTTTAAATTTTTTTATAAACTTTAATATTTCTTTAAAAATTGCTATTAATGATTTTTTTAAGGTTTTATAACTTTTCATTTTTTTCCACCAGATATTTACATTAAAAACTATTATTGACAATTTTTGAATTTTATATTTTTATTTTTTTAAAAATACTATATTATAAATATTTTAAATATCACATATAAAAAATTAAACATAGTTACCGCATCAATTTTATAAATTAATATTTCACCTCGATGAGAATGGTTCTCCAAGGGTGAATCTTTAAAGGATCCCCACTTGATTTATAGTAAAAAGCTGCAATCTTAATTAAGAAATTTCGGTTTTTATGACTAATTTTAAACATTCAAAAATAATATTTTTATTATATTAAAGACTTATAAGTATATATATATTTTAAATAATAAATTATTATTATTAACTGTTTAAATTTAATTTAAAAATGAAAATTAACATTTGTAATTAAATATTTATTTAGTAATTTTTATTGGGTCTTATTAATTAATATTTATAAAATTTTGATTAAAAAGTTAATAAATAACAAATTTTTAATTAAAAATCATATTAAAAGCATTAAAAATTATGAAAATAATAATAATTTTTGTTTAAAACAATTAAAATACAAAAATGATTTTTTATAAATTTTATAAATTATCTGTTATATATATATATATTCTGCTTTTATCTCCTTCTTTTCCTCTTGTCTTTTATCCTTCAACTCTTTTTCTTTCTGCCTTCAAACTTTCAAAACTAAGTAAAAATTAAAATAATATAATCAATGCCCAATCTTTATTAACGGATAGTTGGTGCCTAATGCCTTCCTATGGATACTAACTTTAAAAGGAGCTTGTTTCCTCCTTTGGTAAAGCAGATTCTAAAGCATTTGCATTATTTTTCCAAGGCAAACTTCACTCATAAGAACCCACCAGAATAAAACATATTCAAGGAAAGAGAGATATAAACAACTGCTGCGCTCTGGGTATAATTAATTAAAAAATATTAAAAATATTTTTTAACACATATTAAATACATATCAATTATAAAATAAAACATAGTGAAAATTATATAATTTTTGCTCTTAGTTTAACAAAATTCATTTATATTTTATAAATCTTAATTGATATAAAAGTGTGTCAAAGACAATGTATCGATGAAAATATTAATGTATTTCTAACTATCCTTAAAAAATTTAGAAAATATTAGTTTTAGCTCTTAGAATTAAGCATAAATAACTAAAAATGGTAATTTTTATTTTTTGAAAAATTTGTTACCTGAAAGCTATAAAATTAATTATTAAACCATGTGTTAAAATTAAGATCCCTAATTGAAAGTGGCATAGAATGGTGGGCAATCTCGTTAAGTTCACATTTGTTTTACTACACAATCCACAAATAGTATCAAAATTAAAGATGAAGATACCAATGGAAATGAGAGAATAAGACATTGTGAGATTGAAGTAACGATTAGGGTGGGGCAATGTAGAACCCACTAAATTAAGAACCAAGTTATGCTCTTGTGTGTCACATAAACATACGTGTTAAGGGAGGAATGAGAAAAGGTAATTTCAATTACATAATTATAAATAAATTATGAAAAATGATTACATTTAAAGTTTAATTTTGATAA